AGGTGCAGAAATAAAAATCTGTCTTTGCTGTGAAAAGGATAAGTGGTCTTATTACACACTGAACATAAGGCATTTAAATCATTCCTGCTGCGTAACACATTGTCTCTCCTCTCTACTGGTCAACCAAACAGGATGGCTTTTCCAGATTTAGAACTTGATGGATGCCTTCAAGGAGATAAAGGGCGAAAAAGTTCAACTTTAAGGACGCGTGTGTTCTTTCAAAACACATGTGATCATTAATAACCTCAAATCAAGGTTCAACTCATTAAACGGGTTGTGAAAACTTAAGGCTGCGTCATTAATACCAGTGCGGACTCATTGGAATACCACCAGGCCTCCTGTGTCTACAGTGAATCATGTTGTTCACCGTCATTCATCAGTTCAGGAAGTTTTTCAATTGTCTTTGTTACTACTAATTGACCATACCAAATAATATACCATATGGTGCAGTGATCACTGCAGTTGTGTTTGATCTGCTGATTGAAACTCGCTCTCTGTAATGAAGTTCTCATTGTGCACTTCGGTTTGTGAGCGCGCAACCCGGATCCAAGGATTGAACATGTCTGATTACAAGAACAGAGCAGCACCCGTTTAGGATGAATTCTGCAAGAAGAGATAAATGGAAAACAGATGAGATGCTTGGGCAAAGTGCAAAAAGCATGCGTCCATGTGGTTGAAGATGTACACGATAGCTACTGCGTTTAGGACAAAGTTATATAAGCAGTTTACAGCAAACTATTTCCCATCTTGGTTCAAAATGTGACTCAGACACTGGCGCTGTGCACTCTCACACACTGTCATTCTGTGCTTGAATGAGGACCCAATGACAACTGGTATTCTTCCTCAGTGTTCGAGGCCTTGATTGATTGTATCCTTTTCTCCAGCAAGCTGTCCGTGTCATTCAATGCAACATCTCGAGCACAATCCGACCTTTGTTCTGTCTTTATTTACTACCGAGCTGATTGTTGAAGCTCACTTTCCTCTCTGTGACGGGTTCCTTAAAGCTCCTCTGCGCTCTAAGAACGACCTTTGACCTTTGGTCTGGTTCACAGGATCTTGTGCCTTTTCCCAAAGCCCATGACGGACCTTTCCTTCTTCTGCTAAAGTAACCAGAACACATCTTCTGTCAAAGTAGCAACCTAATGTCTCAAGATAAGAAAATAATATATCAAGTGTTATTGTTATTAATAGTTAGTTAAGTAGACATACAAGTTAACTGTGCAAACTTCCAAAAAAATGAGAATAAAAGAGACTAGCCGACAACATCATTAACAGAACATGTAGTAAATAAACAATTAAGTAGACTTTGTAAAAGTTGGCGATTGTCCATTAACACTAGACTCAAAAGTTATTTACATGTCGTAAATCATTAGTTTTGCAGGTGTTTAGTCATAAACCTGAAAGACACATTCTAATGTCCTTCTCATGGTGGCACCAGATGAAAAGTCAGAGGAGCCCCAAAGTGTTGACAGTGTTCATCATGTATGATTGTAGCAAATTACTGTTCAAAAGTTGAAGAATCATTTTCAGCACAACCTGTGAGAGCCGCTCTTGCAGGTGGTCTATTTGGAAAAGTCATGGGATTAAGAACGTCATTAGGACATTTCCTCTGGGAACCATTAAAAATTAATGAGAGATGGAAGCGAGCAAATCATCAGGTGGAACATTTCTGCTTTAACACATTATACATCATGGCTACACTGCATCTTATTAGTTGGCTTTGCTGCCAAAATGCAGTAAATGAGTGTTACTGTCACATCAACATATGTATTCAAAGAGTTACATTTGTTGAGGTTCTCACATTACAGGTCATTTGGCTGACGCTTTTATCCAAAGCAAGTCACATGGCTTTTTACATTATTGCCCAGGGAGCAACTAGGGGTTTTGCTCAGGGACACTTTGACATGGGAAATGAAGCAGCCAGGGCTCGAACCACCAACCTTGCGGTTCCCAGCACATCCTCTCTCTAACCCTGCGCCACCGTCGTCCCCTTTAGAATTTTGAGAGGTGAAAATGGCAGATGTTCTTTTTCTGTGCCGATTGGTTACAATAGAAATGTGGGAATAGAGATTTAAAAAAAATGTAGGAAATACAAACCATTCCTGCCAGAGACTTAATTTCCACATAGTGAGTAAAAAAAACAGTAAATGTCTTCAGGTCAGAACCCTCCACATTCCTTAAAGAGTGTTGAGAGACGTGCCGCAAAGCTGAGGCCTGCTCATGCAGTTATTGATCTGGACTTTCTTTGCCTGATGTTTTTAACATGCGAGAAGGAATGGACACATGGTGGAAGATTTGTTGAATAGTTTGATGTTAGAATACTCCAAACAGGGCAGGAAGAGCGCTGGTCCTTGGAGAAACTGGACATGGTAGAGGACAAGCAATGAATCAATAACCCCTGATGAGATAAGCAGGAATCGGGACTCGGTGGCCGATGTTTGTCTACCGAGGACACAAGAACATTCAAGCAGATGTCTGTTTTCTCCTTAACTTGATGGGAAACCATTATCACCACCATTTCACCAGCATCAGGGGACCAGCGCTTTCCACCATGAAAGATATGACAGCATTTTTAAAAGACGGCATGAATAAACTGTGATGGAGATTGAAGTGAGTGCTATGTGTCATGTACCCTTTTTTCAGTCCGTCTGTTAGACAAAGATTGATCATTCAGTACGTACGAGGCGAGGGAGCGACTGGTGAATATCGACAAAACAGGCAACAGTTGTTTGGGATCCCATGTGGAGGGTCACTGTGCTTTATGACATTTTTAAAATAAGTGATGTGTTGCTTTAGTGCTAAATCAATACTACGTGAAAAATGTTCTTTCTTTCGAGGTTTCCATGACATGATGATGTTTTTCTGTTTTTTGGACCATGTGTGTTTGACAGAAAGAGAATCATAAAAGTGTCCTTGATAAAAATGCATTGAGAGAAAACTTAATTCTCAAGTGTCTAAATAAGTTCACATTCTCTACGCAACATGTGACCTACTGCCTCGTCAGCATAATATTACCCCGAAACCGTCTTCATTACCGTGACAGGGCTTGAATTAATGTTTGTGCAAATTCTGTTGTCCCTCTCTGCTCGTGTGCGCACCCACGTTTTTCAGGTTTGGACGGACAGTCACTTAGATCCCCCATAACGAAGGAGAATGTCTGTGACTATTATGTAACTACATTTGTATTATTCATGAGCAAGCATATGATCCCAACAACGCAACATAACCTCTAAACTACACAACAGTAGAGATTTGACAGCTGAGCCTGAATCTGTAAAAATCTGCCCAGTAAATCAACATCTGTCGAAATGCCTGAAAGAAAAAGTCCGCCTCTCCAAAATACTGCCTTCCCTTAGAAACTAAGCGTGGGTGTGGCCTGGAAAAGAAACACGGCGACCCATCCTTAGTTTCTGAGGTCACGCGGGATTCTACATAACACCATGAAGTATTCACACCAACAGTCACAGAAATAATCTGTATATTTCAGTGTTTGTTGCGATACTTTGCTTTCTTTTATTTTTGCCCAGTGACATTCGACTTCTAGAACTACTGTATAAGACAAATGTTTGTTCTGTGAGCTCCTTTTCCTGAACGGCTGTTCATTCCTTCAACGTTTTTTTTTTTTTACCGACTGCCTCTCCACCAGGAAGATAAATGAAAATAGAAAACAATTCAGCACCATTCGTGCAATCTACTGGGCTTTGCGTCTTATCGCTTAAGACGATGTGAAGAGGGAATCGATAACATGTTCAGATGTGGACTGCTGCAGTCATGAGTCAGTTAATGTGTGTATTATCTTTGTGCATGTTTATTCATGTGCACACGTATGGAAACAGGGACATTTTATACGAGCAATGGGGGCTGTTTATCACGTCTTCTTGCCTCTTTATAATACTGGCCGAGTTTTCCAGGCTCGACTGGGGATAAAATATCTCGTGAAACAGTAGCAATAACTGACAATTCCTCCGAATGGACCATGAGATGCACTTCCTTGTTTATTAAGGAAATGCCATCGGCAGGAAACTGTGGGAGCATTTCAGTAACCGTATGCAGAGCTGCACAAAGATTGTGTAACTATAAAACAGTCGGCTCGAACTCCTGCCAAAATCCTCTCTCCGAGTTGTGCCTCTGAAATCTTCGGCTAGCAGCTGAGAGGTTGCATCAAGTCTTTTAACACATGGGGGGGAAGCAGCTTAACAACTTTCCTCTTCTTAGTCTGACGGGGGGTAACCGTGCAAGTGCATTGATCCATGCATTACCGATTCTCATCCAAACATACCACATACCATCTGTAAAAGGTTTGGCTGTGTTGTTTCCATGAGGTAATAGCAGCAGTTTAATCAGTTTCTTTGAAGATCAAGCAAAGGTTTGTGCTACAGTAAATTAAATATTGCGTACAGGAACATTTTGCACTTGCTCTTCCTTTCCGATCAAGATAATACTTCTTAATGAAAGTAGTTTTGAGCAAAGTACTCGTTGACCCCCCATCGGCAGGCATCAGATGTCAGCTGTCTGGAGCACAATAACTAAATAAGGAACAAACCTGGGAACCATTTCACCCTCAGAAACAAGTCCAAACATGAGATGCATAGAAACATTTTATTGTGTGTATTGTTCAAGAGTGAGTCAACATGAGGCTTAGTCGATGCGATGAAGTGAAAAGGTCGACGATTCTGGGGGCTGGAAAACTTGTATAGAAAACTGGTATAAATTTGTTGAACAAACCAACATGTGGCAAGATGCAAGTTATAGTTTTTCTACAGTTTATTGTTCTTTACACTAATTTGGACCTGTTTGCGCTGGCATCAAAGCACATCCTTCACAGCCATAGTGTAGAGGTCATGCCGTATAGAGTGTGGAGTAAGAGTTAACCATGTACATGTGAACTAAACAACACATGAAGGGACTCCTCATAGAGCGACCTAAGATGGACACCTTTTTGTTTTGTCGACTCTGCATTTTATCTGTAAAAATCTGGCTTTTTAATCCTTTTCTTCCAGATGTTAACGAATGTGAGGTGGAGGACGGCGGCTGTGAGGAGTCCTGTTGCAACACCATCGGCAGCTACTACTGCAAGTGTCCAGAAGGCAGTCGACTGGGGCCCGATGGCAAAGCATGCCGCGGTGAGAGCCGGCATGCTGCCGAAAAAGGACTTCACACCGGTGTCGATTGCCATTTTTTCTAGATCAAAGTCGTCCTTTTAAATCGACAGATTGGTCCTTACGATGGTGCAGAAAGTTAAGCTCATTCAATGTGTCAATCTCCTGCCTAAATTGGCCAACTTAAGACCTTTTTAAAAGGCCAGACTACTGGCTGTAAATGGCTGAACCAACCGCACAGGCAGCGCCCCTTTTCTACGACAGGTGTGAACAAGGCCCTGACCTTTACCCCTTACGACAGGATATACTCACTTATGTAATCATTTAAAGTCCGAGAACCAACTAGTGGAGAAGACGAACGGAAGCAGCTTCAGCAGCTGGGAAGTTCTTCTTTTACCGGCTTTCGCGTGAATTCTGTGTGTGGTCGTATTCATGGGGAAAGACAACGTTTGGATTTGAAGGGCTGAAGGAAAATAAACCTGTGGATGGGTTGTTTTCAGAGTTTTTTATCTTCTTCCTTTTTTATCCTGTGAATTTGAATGAATGGAAAGGATAAACTCCTACAAGACGTGTAGGAGTTCTTCCTCTACTACTACCGAGTTGCGTGAGTTTAATTTTGTTTTTGGTAAATTCCGTTCCTGTGGCGTTCATTCTGACCACCTGTCCTCCCAAATGTTTGGTCTGTTCCTTTGTCTAGTCGTAGATGCAAACTCAGCAGCTCCGATAAGAGCCAGGCGGTGTCCCACCACATCATTCAGACCTCGCGCCCCCCGACCTCCAACACAACGACTCCCGCCGCTGCTGCCCCGCACACCACCTCGCCCACCGAAGAAAAGCCACCATTGTGTGTGTCTGCCATTGAAATCCTCTCACATGAGGAGTCCAACGAGTATATTAACCTTTACAAACCCCCCCGCGTCTATTGTTTTGCGTGTAAGGAATCCTCTACAATGGCTGCCAATGTGTTAAAGTGCTATCACAGGACGGCTCGTGAACACGAGGTGGTGATAATTCATTTAGTGCAGATGTCTGCATAAGTTGGACAAACGGACATAAATGCCTTAAACCCTTTTTCAAAATCATCAATGTGGAGGATACAAAAAAGATTGTTTTACTGGTGAAAGTCCCCTCCCCTCCCCTCCCCCCACTTTAACCCCCCCCCATGTAGCTCCTATTGTTGGAAGGCAGCTAATTAAAATAGCAAAGATCGTTTTGGAGACGGCTGTTCCCACGGGGCTGTCACAGGGTTGGAGGTGCAGGGAAAACTATTTCAAAAATGATTTACAATATCTGCACTACTTAGTGAGCCCTTTAACCTCCGAGAAGGGATGCGTGCTCAAATAAACTGAACCACATGCTTGGTGTTCAACACCCCCGCCACAAAAAAGGAAAATTGCAACAATATTTTCCCTCCCTGCACACATCTCCTCTGTCATCGTCGTGGACTGAAAAAGCCGGCGTCAGAGGTGACAGCTGGACGGAGGTTTGAGAGGATGTGTGATGTGTTGCCCAGATGTGCATATCAACACCTGATTGTCCTTCGGTAGGGTGTCCAGGTCTTCCGAGCTGGCTTCCGGTCTCTGTGGAACATGAACTTCGGTCTGACACGTGCACAGCCATATGGAAGCCTCTCGTGTGCAGGAAATTGATTGCACGCATGCTACTGCACGAACCATTCATCATTTAAGCCAAAGACATTATGCACGCACGTTTTCCGTCAGGACACAGGGTCAGTGTGGTTTGGCACACTGAACTTTTCATTGTCAGGTTTCCGTATTCTCCGTCACTGTTACACAGGTTTTAAACATGACACAGCTGAATGTAATTCTCATTTCTGGGAAATATAAAATGGAGAATACAACTCTGGAGATATGGTCGAATTGATGCAATTAAAACTCATCAAATCGTTTTTTAATTAAACAACCTGAATGTCGGATATGACACTTTATACAAACCCACAATAAATGTGGTTTGTTTCCGCAGTATTATTGACTGAATTTCGACCAAGCAGAGAATGCATTTAGTGTCTTTGTTGTTATTATTTTGCAGTCTAATAGTTTTCCCTCATAGAAATGAATAGTTTACTTAAGGAGCACTGGTCTGTGCATGGTTATGAGTATATGTTTGCGTGTGTGCTCAGATGTAAACGAGTGTGAGGAGGTCAATGGAGGATGCCAGCAAACGTGTGTCAACACAAAAGGCTCATTTCACTGTGAGTGCAGAGAAGGCTTCCGCATGCACTCTGATGGTCGGACCTGCATTGGTGAGTGCTGAACAGAGGGCCTCATTGCACTTCACGCACCGCATTCATGCCTCGATCATTTAGCTGGATTATTACAGCCACAATTCCTCAGTTTACATCGCAGCAAAATGACATGGAATGTGGAGGAATAACAGATAAAACAGAATTAGTAAAATGTTGTTTTTGTGGTTAGATAGGCGGCCTGTAAAAAGATTATTATAAAGGTGTGTGACATACAGTTTATAGAGTATTAAACTTTAGAACTGAAACAACCAACTCTGGTATTTAAATTCTATCTGTTTGAATCATTAAGTTAAAAGCCAGCCGCTCCCCACGTTTCACATCCCGTCTGTGTCATCATGTCTGTGTTTAAAGCACCCAGAAGGCACACGGCTAATATTTATATTTGGTACCTCGTTAAATGGCAGGAGTAATGGGATGGAAAGATAATTAGTGACCAGGAGTACCGCTTGAATATCGCTTTCTAGTTTCCAGCCTTCACTCGAGAGTTTCCCATGATTCAACAGCTGCATCGCCCGAGGTGTGAAAGACATTTTACAGACGCAAATGTACCTGTCATACTGTGTGCGACTTTAAATATCCCATAGCTGAGCAGATGGGTTTTTATGCTTATTTACCATCTTTGTTCTTGTCTCTGTCTTGTAAGCTGTGAACTCGTGTTCGATTCTGAATGGCGGATGCGAGCACAAGTGTGTGGACACGGGAAACAATAACTACAAATGTGACTGCCGTAAGAACTATCAGCTGAAGAGGGACGGGAGACACTGTGAATGTGAGTCATTATGCCAAAGATTTGAGGTTCTTCTGATTAAAAAAAAAAAAAAAAATTGCATTAAATTCATTTTGCGTGGTTTGTGACTTAGTGGAGAGGACTTGGTGAAGCGGTTTTGAAAAAAGAAGAGCACTCACCTTTGTAATGTTTAAAGGAGGTAAACATTGTTGTGTTTATTTGTGTGTGTCAGTGAGGGACCCCTGCGAGCACAGGAATGGCGGCTGCTCCCAGCTGTGTCTTTCACAGCACGGCCGGGTTCACTGCAGCTGCCGACCTGGTTTTACTCTGTCTGGAGACGGCGAGAACTGTGAAGGTGAGGAATCGCACACGCACAACCGACTGTCTGCACGCACACTAAATAAATACCTTTCCCTTCAACATGCTTCAGTTTAGCAGAAACACACTTAGGATCTTTCCATAAGGTACCGCCAGTGAATCTTGGCGTTATTTACCTTTTACCCTCAAGAGTTGAGTTGACCTAATTGCATCAGTGGACAGGTTTCCTTCTAAAAGTGTGTTCCTGTTGCGGCGTGAACCATAATAAACCAGGACCCTCTCATGCTGAGAGTAAACTGCGATTTAACCATCAGGGTTTGCTTTGGACATACATCACCTCTGAAACGCTCCGGGACATGTCTCAATATCGTGCGATTGTTTTGTCCTTTTCGCGTGTCCTGCAGACATCGACGAGTGCCGCTCAGGCCGCGCCGAGTGTTCCCATGGCTGTGTCAACATGCTGGGCTCCTTCAGCTGTGTGTGTCATCAGGGCTTCGAACTTGGTGCTGATGGCAAACAGTGCTACCGTAAGTAAAGGGTTAGGGGGTTGTAACGTCTATACCTTTTCCTAAAAAGGAAGGGCTCTGGAATGCATGTATCGTTTTGGAAGCAACGTGATATGAGCGAAACCAGAAAAATCAGGATACAGCCCTGATATATGGTCACACCAGCCATGTCAGGAAGGCGGGGAGAAGGTAGGACTCAAAACGCAGACTTCAAAAACAAAAAGACTTTAATAGTCAAAATCCAAAAAGGGCCAAGGGGCAAAAATGCAGACGGGAACCAGGAACATCCAAAACACTTGACAATGACGCGACAAGAGACACACATGACTTAAATCCACTGGGAAGGTGCAGGTGATTGGACACAGGTGGAAACAATCATGACAGGGCAGACAATCAGAGGGGATGACAGGACCAGGAAGGAAGTGAAGTTACCCAGGGAGACAAGAAGCAGAAAACTACAAAATAAGACAGGAAATAAACCCAAACCGTGACCAGCCAGGACTCCAAGACAGTGGCGTAAATTGCTCATCTCAACTAAAACTAAAAGTTGATTTCATCTACGCGTCTGCAAAGTTTCACGACTGCAACGTCCACAAAATCTTCCCAAAGTGTTTTCGAGGATCACACCCAACTAGCGTATAGTGGCTGATAATAACCACGCGTTTTGCCCACTTCTCTTATAAAATTATATAACACATTGAAAATGTAGCCAAGCACACTTTAATCAAAACTATACCTGCACTCAAGAATGTTTTTATCTTCTCCTCTCCTGCTGGAATAACTGTTGCTAATAATGTTACGGCCGTGCCCTTTAAATGTGCCGTTGGTGCTGTCTCCTCCAGGCATTGAGATGGAGATCGTCAACAGCTGTGAGAAGAACAATGGAGGTTGCTCTCATCACTGCGAGCACACCACCAACGGCCCGTCGTGCTCCTGCAACCACGGTTACCAGCTGGACCGGCACAGGAAGACCTGCGTGGGTGAGGACTCTCACTCTCCCGTCGTTTTGCTTTCGCTCACTCGCGCCGACTCTCATCTCGTGTGTTGAAACCGACGTGTGATGCCGTCCTCAGATAGCGACGAGTGTGTCAGTGGGGAGTCCTGCTGCCGTCATCTCTGTAGAAACCACCCGGGCGGCTACGAGTGCAGCTGCAGAGCTGGCCACCGACTGAGTCCCGACGGCTGTGGCTGCGACGGTAAAGGCGCTTTGGATGCAAAGGCCAGCGAAGGCCGCGTTAGAGGTCTTTGTGTTGTCGCCGCACGACGCACATTTAACGGGTTGCTAAGGAATTACATTTTAGGGACAGTAAAAAGAACGATGTGCTCAAAACAGCTACAAGTTTTACACAAACTAGATATCGAATGTTTACACCGCCAATGAAACGGCTTTGCTGTTGTCATTGACCCTTTCATTCTCCCAGCTGTGTGTTGATGCTTATGTATTTTCTGTTCATCAGACATTGACGAGTGCCAAGCGGAGACCTCGGGCTGCGAACAAAACTGCGTCAACACCCTGGGAACATATGAGTGCTTCTGTGAACTGGGATTCCGCTTGGATCAGGACCAGCACTCCTGCGTTGGTGAGTGACATACAATACTGTTAGATAGATAGATTTCATTTAAGTAAAACATGAGGGATGGAGCCATTTAAAGACAGTTTGACCCACTTTGTTCTTTGTGTTTTTAGCTCTCTATGGCAGAGAGCTGGAAGAAGAAGGGGATGAAGATGCGGAGGAGGACGAGCGGCCGGATGTCCACACATTACCGGACCTGCTGTTCCGCAACGCTCCTCAACTCCTGCGGTACACAGCCGCCCTGCGCTCCCGTCATGGCGGTGATGGCGGTGATGGTGAAACAGAATACGAGATCCAGAGGGAGCGCCGAGGAGAGCTCAGGCTGGACAGCAGTATAGGTACAGTGAAGAGCGGGGGGCCATGACACTCGGTGCCTGCTGAGGAACCCAGCGGTTTGATGGTTTTATTAAGTCTTCTCTCTCAGTGTGTCTAGATGGCTCGTTCGGAGAGGAATGCAGTGTGAGCTGTGACGACTGCGTGCACGGAAAGTGTAGTGATGGCAGAGACGGATGCGAGTGTTCGGCTGGATGGACCGGGATCGTCTGTAACAAGAGTAAGTTAACTGGCGATCTTTTCTCTACAGGTGTATCGTTCTCTACAGGTGTTTTCACAGCAGCCCAGAACGCACAAACTAAATACAGCAGTTTGCCTCTTTGTGCCGGCTGCAGTGCTTCTACATTCCTGGAACAGAGGAGATTCTGCCAGATACACACTAGACCTTTAAGATAGCGTTCCCTGCAGGACGTCCTTTGACTTTTTGGCAATTTGGGTAATTCCACAGAGATGAGATGAGAAGATTTAAACGAACTGTCACACAGCGGTTCGTTTGATATCTTATGAAAACAGGTACAGGTCCATTCAGATTTACCATACACATTTTCTCAGTCAATTCAGTATGTCTAAACTTTTGACTGGTACTTGTTTTATTTTTGTATACACTCTCTTATGAATACGCAGCAATGAGTGTAAATTTCCCCTCTGTAAATGTCTGCAGTCTTTTCAAAATAAACGTCTGCCTTTAAGGGAAATAAGCTGGTTAGGTTGAGGCATCAAAACTACTTGGGAAGGTCCAGGAACAAGTTCTGTTTTGGATAAAAATAACTCCAGCAGTTTTGTAAGTACGGAAATTATGGAACAATTACACAAAAGTTGACTTTAGCTTTCACTTCTACACGAAAAGCAGGTTCTTAAGTGAAAGCCTTATGTTTCAACTACAGGTTGTTTAAGAAGGCGAATGTAGAATGTCATTTAAAAAAAACCTTCTTCTGCTCAGACATGTGCGTGGCAGGGAGACCGAAATTAACCATTTATGCCCAGATGACATACATGTCAAGGGGATAATGTCAACAGTACAGTGCACAGTCCTGCAATCACTCACCTTGTGTTCTATCTGAACTACTCATAGCCAGTAGTTCAATAGGAGAGGAATGAGATAGCTATGTGTCAAAACCTGTCTGCCTCTCTGTGTGGGAGACTTGCTTATTTATGGGCTCCAGAACACAAGAGCAGCGGGGGAATCAATCTGTCTGCTGCTGGAGGGAGGCCAGGGCCTGCAGCAGGAGCACAGCCCGAGGCCAAGGATGTCCACTCCTGGGTGAGCAAGTAGGGCTCCATTGTTCCTATCCAGCTCCGTGATTAATGGCTGTGTTTGGTCTGAAGCAAAGTCAGGCCGGTAATCACAAGAGGAGAGCTAGTCCGTTAGAAGAAATGTAGTATTTAGATGCACGACCTGGAGGGGAGGATCCGGACATTAGTGGCATTTCCAGGGGAAAAGGGTGTATTGATGCATTGCAAAGAGCTAATTAGGGTTTTCCGCCTGGACAATAAAGTGCAGCTTGAGGACATGCAGCTTGCATTCAGCAAACTAAACGTGGCTGAAGAGAAAATAATGAAATCTTAGCAGTGAAGCCAAATTACAGAAGATATACTAAGTCAAAATAGTGTGAAGCGCAATATCAGATCAATGAAATGGTGGCTGAGGTATGTGGGACAAAAGGTGGCAATGCCATCCATATATTCTGTAATTCTCAGGTCTGCAATTTTCTTTAAAGTCCCAAGAATATTTTGTATTATTCTATTCTATACCCAAACCCCTAATACAAAACTAATTAAGGGAAGACATTAAAACCCCGCGGCATAGAAACACACTCACTAAGGCAACTTGTTAACCACTCACATAGTTGGTGGTGAAACAAAAGTGTTTTTTAAGGTTGCCTCAACATGCCCCAAATACCCCAAGACTTGGGGCATGCATCATTATGAAGCAGGATCAATGCCCCACTGCCAACTGCACTACTCATTTACTTTGCTTGCATTTCCAGATGTACGCGTCACTATTTCCTTTTTTTCTCTCTTCCTGTTTCTCTTATATATTGATTGCAATGCTTATTCAGTCATCTTTAATGCCGTTACCTCCATAGTTTACATGTGATCTCCCCACGGAGTGACATAAAACTGCTGTGAAGAAAGTGGAACGTGGAAACTTGAGACTTGATAGCGTGTAACACGTTTTAAAACAGCCAGCTGGTTCATGTTGGAATTGCCAACAAGGGCAGAGGGATTAAAAGTGTCAGAAGGACACAAATCACGGGGAACGACAGGATGGAAGGTGGACGTATTGACTGACTTTTGAACAATAACCCTTCCTTTGGCCGCTGTACTACTGTAAGTCTTTGTGCATGTGCCAAAGGTTTGATTCATTCACTTGTACTGCGACTGCTCAGGTGCCAATGCTCTCTCCCTTCCCCTCCTCCAGCTTGTCCACAGGGGACCTATGGGCAGGCCTGTGACAGCCTCTGCCGTTGTCAGAATGGAGGCTCGTGTGACCCTTTGACTGGGAAGTGTGTCTGCCCCCCCGGGGTGCAGGGGCTGCTCTGCGAGGACGGTTTGTACACACACACACACACACACACACACAATTCTCACACAGGTGTTAATACAACAACCAGGCTCTGAGTTGGTCGTCCGAGACATATTGCTCCTTGGTATGAAGCATTGTTGCCTTGCTCCTCCAGGCTGTGCTGATCTGCTTGTAATGAGAAGTGATTAGATCTTTTAAAAGTTTAAAATCCTTTAGTTTCATTTGATTTTCTGACCAAAGCAAAGTAATTGACAAGGCTGAAAAATGATACTTCTTTACACTTCCACAAATCACAGAAGAATTGTAGCCCTTATCCATTCGATCCTAAAGTGGCATTATTCGTGTTTTTGCAGGTTGTCCGAGGGGTTATTTTGGGAGGCACTGCAGAAAAAAGTGCAACTGCCCAAACAACGGACATTGCAATCGCATGTATGGAGGCTGCCTGTGCTCCCCGGGACTGTATGGGCGCTTCTGCCACCTGCGTGAGTACCAACCCCGACCATATCGTAATACCCACTGCATAATGGTCATGATGTGATGAACAAAATTTAATAGCATTGATAAAAGTCCAATTGGATTACGGGAGATATGAGCAACTTTTATGTGTAAGGCAAAACAAACCTTAAGAGTGAAATTACACCTCACTGACAATCATTGCTGGTGGATTTCAATCATTTTGGTGGATATTTGAGTGACTGCAGATGAAAAGATCCAAACCATCACAGCAATCTTTTTGGGGACATGATGATTCTCGTGCAAATGGCATAACACCTTCTCAGTCTCATTTAAAGGTGATTTTAATGATTGGGTTAGTTTTTTTTAATATGCGATCACCAGATCAGGCTCTACCGTATCCTTTCCCGTTTTACTCTTTGTCCTCGCTGGCTAAACTTTGCCGCTTCGACGGTGGCACCAGGTGAGACGGCAGCTCTCGGGGGAGCCAGTGGCCCTCCAGCTTTCCCTCAATAAGATGGGCCGCCAAAGCAAACTCCTCGTTGTCCAGCATGCCATCCCCGTCTACATCAGACAGCCTCCAGATGTGAGCAAGCACGGAGTTGGGTAGGAGGGTGGTCGTCATCCACTCTTTGACTTTGGTGGCGCTCAGTTTGCCCCCGTGTGGACCCAGGTTGAAGAAAACCTCATCGTGCTTTGGCTTGTATTTCTCCACCGCCCACTCGACAAAATCTGTCTCACCGCTCCGACCGGATTTTTTCAGTTCCATGAGAGAATCTTTCTTGTAACGCTCAGGCCTGAATGTTCCCAAAAACTCCCCGTCCAGCACACCGGGGAGGGATTTCTTCCTCAGGTCTTGTCGTTGAATCAACGGCACCAGGTTTGCTATGTCACTGGTCAGGAGTTTATCCAAGGAAGCCATCAGACTTGGTTTCAGTGTCTTGAACTTGGAGAAATCTTGCCCCAAAAGTTTTTCCTGAAAAGGTGTGCAAACAAAAGTTAAGCTCAGGAACATTCTGATAATTTGGCATGAAGGCAGAATCTGAAATATTTTTTCCACCTGCATCTTGGTGCAGTCGGGGAAGTCCCCGGCCGGGACTCGATGCCGCTGCTGGATCTTGGTGAAAATCAGCGGAAGTTGGTAGATCAGGTTGTGCTTCTTGCTTTCTTTGCAAAAAATGGTTGGCATCTCCTTTTTGAGATAGCTGATAACATGAGCATGTGCCTACGAGGATAGATACAATAAAAAGTGAGCTTACTCAAATTGTAAATATGAACCCAAAGAGAAGGATGGAATTGAACATATGACACCTCTTACCCTTACTAAGCGGGCCCTTTTTACCAAGTCGTTCAGTTTGCGTAGGGCAGCATTGCGGGGCAGGTTCCTTATGTCGGCCAAAAGATCCTCCTCCTCCATCTCTAACAGCTGGTGGTGGTCACACATCTGCCTGGGCTCCGACCAGAATGATCCAACGTAAACCCGGAGGATCTCCGGTGTTCGAAACACTTTCCCCAGAGACCACATGAGGGCGCCGTACACCCTCATGAGCTGCTGCGAGTCCACCCTGTCAGCTTTGTTGAGGACCACGCGCAACTTGTCCTCATAGCCGCACAGGGCCCCGAAGGCCCGGGTGAGCTCATCAGAGAACTCCAGTTTATGTGCATCGAAGAGCAGGATGATCCGATCCACGCGCTCCGCGAACCAGCGCAGCACGGCCGGGAAGTCGTAGCCTGGGGACGAGGAACCAAAGCGCCGGGTTTTCATTAGCGCCCAGAGAAACATCCCAGTGGCCCTCACTCTCAGCCACACCCACAGATTAATGCCTTCATAAAACAACTGCTCAGTTACTCACAGCACTGCTCGTCCCCTCCCGACTCAGTCATATTACCCTCATCTGCTTCTGGCTTCAAGTTCTGAATTACTATTATCTCATCGCATCTGAAAACACTTTCCTCATACCAGGAACTTTGATTCTGACAAAAGCAATGTTTTCCAACTGAATGACTCTCCTGAAAGGAAAGGAGAAAAGTATTCGGACTCACCACGGCTCAGTTTTCTCTTAGCAGCGGTCAGGATGCCCGGTGTGTCGATGATGCTAATGCTCTCCAGGACTTTATTTGGCATCTGAACGCACTGAAACCTACAAAGGACAAAATGCTTCAACGGAAAGCACCGGAATCTCTTTACTGTTCGCCACTAGCCTTCATTTAGAGAGCACAGGATGAATTGTTTCACGCTGCAAAGTTTGTTTCACTGCTTCTACGCTAGCAGGCTTTTGATTCCCACAGCATCACCTGTTCAGAAAGGCATTTCCAAAAGGGTCCAGGTGGCGAAAGGGCTTCTTCGCGTCCACTGTGAGGGCGTTGCCGGGGATGACTCCCTCCACCTCTCCATGCATGAGGGCAGTGAAGGAGTCGGTGGTCGGCTCTGGCCCAACTCTGCTACCAGGGAAATCTTCTTCGAGGAGATATCTGAAGTCCAGACAACCGTTAACAGCAGTTAACCCTTCAGCTCTCATTGGTTAAATGCATTCCCCAGCACGCGTGCACAAACCTGCAGATGTTCTGATTCTTACCTGACAAAAGTTGTCTTTCCTGTCGAGTACTGACCTATCACCAAGACCATTGGTTGGTTGTCAAACTCTGCGTCCTCATAGCTCGGAGAATGAAAGTGATGGAAGGAATAGTGTTTCTCTATGGGAAGCAGCCTCTTGAAATAAAGATTCTTCAGTTCCCCTGTGACCAAATTCACGTCGCCCACTGTTTTGGGGTCGCTCCTGAGCCTCCGGATGGACATGGTGATGAATCGTTGCTCCTGAATTCTCAGTGTGAACGCTTCTAACACCAAGCCGAAGGATGTGCAAACGGAGTATTATCAGATTCTCACAGCGGTCTGCTCCATCCTGCAGCAGCACATGGAGAGAGAGGGTGGAGAGGGTGTAACCACAGCCTGCAGCTGGACCAGACGTAAAGCCAATGTCGAGAGGGACCGGGTGGAGTGGAGCTCAGCCTTCTTTTTTTTTTGCCGAGGAGCGAGAATCTTGGCAAAATTCATCCAGATTGTTCTAAACACTGAGGAATGATGTGGTAATACTTGAGTTGTAAAAGTCTCACGTGACACTTCACAATCTATTTGTTCAATGCTTCTACTAACAATAAGATAGAGCTTTCAGAAAAGTGCACACAACAAATCAAACTGTTTAGGAAATGGCTTTTCCAAATATTGGCAGTCTGGAATCACTGTAGATTTGCAATTCTTACAGTTACTTAAAATTTCTGAATCGAAGTCTAAAAATCCTGTGAAAGAGCAGCAGTCACATGACTTGAGCCTTCAGAGGTACAATGCTGTGATAACATAGTGGCTGGTTGTTGGTTTTGGCTCAGAGTTATGTGTCATTTGATAGCGGATGTTTTATTTCAACATTCTTTACTTAATTAACTTTCCCCACCTTCACTTAAACAAACAAACGTTTCTACGATAATTTATTTTCTTTGCATAACTCTCGAAAAAATAGATCAAAATGTGTATATTCTTTTGTGGTGGGAAACATATTCAAATTTAAAAGGCATAATGAGTAGAATTTCAAAAAAAAAAAAAAACCCAAGTCTAAATCATTCATTGTGAGCCACATGAAGGGAGTGATGGAGTCTGCATCTGGAGAGACCCTCTGCTAGTGTTTTCTTATTTTGCATTTTCCAGGACATTTCTAGGCGTCAACCACTGTAAAAAAAAAGTAGCGTCGAAGTGCCAAATCCTGCTCATTGTGTCCTTAAAAGAAGCAACACCACAGTGTAGAAATACTGTTGTTGCATGTAAAAGTCCTCCTCTCAAAAACGTGTTCAGGTAAAAGTTTGTATGTGTAAGTTGTCAGTAAGAGTGTTTGTTGTGTGCAATTTGTTTCACTGCTGAAGGGTTCTGCTGATTTGAACTACTTTACACACTGTTTGCTAGTTTAATCTGTTGCTGTGAGAATCTTTCTATCATTCTAAAGGCAAACAGCCCTATTTGGAGCTTTGTAACGTATTTTACAAAGGTTTTAAATAACTTTTTTAGCTTAAGTAGGGGCATTTCTTAACCCATAAATGCACACTTAGAACTCCTGTTTCTCAGAAATGAATGAATTCAAAATCACCGCATTTGGAGAGACGTGTTTTTCTCTGTAAAATACTTTTACTAGTTACTGGAGAATGAAGTACAACATCGGCCACCAAGATGTGCATTTATCAAGTACTGTACAGCTGGGTCACGTACTCCGTTACATCCCACCACCGATCACACAAACACGACTAACTCGTGCTTCTTCTTGTCTGTTTCCAAACTGATCCGGTCGGCCCCTCAGCTTGTCCCAGGTGGACGCACGGTGCGGGCTGCTCCAAGGAATGTGACTGCGTCCAAGAACATTCCGCCGGCTGTGATCCCAAAACAGGGAGCTGTTTCTGTAAGGCTGCATACCACGGCCCACGGTGTGAGAAAGGTATAATGCCGCTTTTCAACCACCAATAAATGTATTTGCCGGCGCAGTAATTGGACCAGAGATGCAACGAGGCCACCGGCTGAGGGGACTTCATGGCCTACAAAGCAGTTCAAGAAGTCGCTCCGATTGCTCCTGGAGACATTGATCGCTGTTTGAAATGCTAACAGCCTCTCAGTGAATGTTTGGAAGCATTCGTTGAGGTGCTTCGTTAATCTTTGTCTGTGTACGCCTTTGTGTCCCCGTGCAGAATGTGAGCTCGGCTCCTTCGGTGCAGGCTGTGAGCAGCCATGCGTCTGTCCAGGCGGAGGGTCATGTGACCCCGGGACCGGAGAATGCAGTCGGCGATGTCCCGCAGGCCTACATGGAGATACATGTCAGCTGGGTGAGACGAAGAGCTGCTTGAAGGGAATCGTGCATCAAACTACGAATGAGTTCGGGGACAATAAATGTGGCTAAATCGACTAAAATCTCACAATGATTGAAATAAATTGCTGTGGAATTATGCAGGCTTCGTCAAAGCTCGACTCCACGGCGCCCTCATGTGGCCGTAACCTTCAGAGTAGAGGACCACAGTCGTACTTTACACATTTCTGTGGACATGTTAAGTGCGTGGGGTTGTACACTGACACGTTTCCACACGTGTGGTCATTTGTCTGCGTACTTCATAAATAAAAGTTTGCGCTTTCTGATGTCACCAAATCAATCTTCGTTCTGTCCCGTTCTATTCACTCTCTGCTGCCTTTGATGGATTGTGCGGATTTAGTGTGTTAAATAAACACAGCTTTCTTTTTTTTTATTTCACCTGGTCAGTGCAGGTGTTCTTGTTATTAAATAGTGTGCGACCCATAAAAGTGAGCGTGTCTCCTCAGCAGTTTGTCATCTGGCTGTTTACTCTGCTGCTCGATGGAGAGATCAATCCTCTGTGTTTTCATCCAAAGTGATGCTGAATAAGGTTAAAACATGACTCTGTGTCTCTATGGGTTGGACCAGCAAAGACGTTTTACAGGATGTCAGCTCCAATGCACGGTCCAGGCCTCGGCTTGCTGGGTTTTGTTAACGCCGAATGAAAAAAAGGAATCCTCATCTTTTGGACTGTGTTCATCTAAAGCTGCAGGTCATGACAGGGGTCATTTACTTCCGGTACCACTGTATTTCTGCAGTTCTCTTTTTGCACTGTTGTGCAATCCGGTGTCTTGTCTTTTTCTGTGCAGCTGCGTTTAAATATATATTTATATATATTCCGTTGTGTGTTGCTAGCCTGCCGATCAAAGAGCTATGGCGAGGGCTGTCGTCTGACCTGCGACTGCGGCGACGCCCCCTGTGACGCTGTGACCGGCCGGTGCATCTGTCCTGCTGGCAAGACGGGCCACTCCTGTCAGGAAGGTACATTTCTTTACTATGCGTTCTTTCAAATATTTTCTTTTCACAATGAATTCCTGTATAAGTTTTAGTCAACCTGATTATGTTGCTTGCACGAACTGACCTCAGTGTGATCATTAGCATGATGAACCACTAGACCAATTCCTCTACTGTGCAGCTCACTCGCCTTTTAATACATTCCACCCCCCAAAACATCCTGAGCCTAAGTGGCTTTAAGACTGAGAATTAAACGAAAGATGCTCGGTGCTCCTCAGACTGCCCTGATGGATTCTGGGGGTTGAAGTGCCAGTCGCCGTGTCCTAAATGCGAGAACAGAGGCTCCTGCAATAAGCACACTGGTGTGTGTGACTGTCAACCAGGTTTCACGGGGAAACTCTGCCAGAACGGTGAGATTAAAATCTAATAATTTCCTATTTGTGGGACTATTTCGACCATTGATCAAAACCAGTCTGTCTCAAAGAATTGCGTTAGTGATTAAACTTCTATTTCTGTGTCATTTCCAACATTTTCATCTATATCAAACATGGATTAGTAAAGCGTCGTCCTATAAACCTGGTGTTGGGTGCAGAGTGTCCCCCAGGTGTCCACGGACCCGGCTGCTCAATGCGCTGTTCATGCCCCTCTGATGCGACCTGTGACCCGCTGACCGGACGCTGCATCTGCCCTCCTGGCAAAAGAGGCCACGACTGTGCGACATGTAAGATTCTACTGAGTAAACCGGACCTTAATGCAACGCGTATCAAATCACCTGCCGCAACGTCTGTTAAACTTCACAGCATGCGAGTCTGGCTACTGGGGCCAGGAGTGTCTCAGTAAATGCCGGTGCGAGGGCACCTCTCTGCACTGCGACCCGGTCACCGGTCAGTGTGCGTGCGAGGCCGGCTTCACCGGGGACCACTGTGAAAAGAGTAAGTCGACCCTTGAACGTCACGCGGTATTAATCAGAACACACTGACGCCCCACGGGGAGCTCATTTACAATCCTGAAAGGAATTTCCTGGATATTATATTGTATAATAAAATGTTTTTGTTTCAGGGATGCAGTACCTGTACATTTTACAGTGGCTTTGCACAAAATACATAGAGATTTTAGTGACGCATGGAAAGCTTTTACAGGGCTTTATTTAGAACAACGTGATGAAACACAAGATAGTTTTTCCTCTGAGACAGTTCTTTCTTTCAAAGCTGGCAACATTTGGTTGAAAGCTAAATCCGTCTTGATCTGCCTCCCCCACATGTTCGCGGTCAGAGTGCATGAATGGCAGTTATGGGCCGGCGTGTGTCCAGCAGTGCCAGTGTCACAACGGAGCCCAGTGCGACCATGTGAGCGGAGCCTGCACGTGTCCACCTGGGCACGCCGGCACTTACTGCGAAAAAAGTAAGTATTCTTTTGTTTCTGATTATTATAACTTTTCTATTTGTTTGGAGTCATTTAAATCTTTAATCAAAGAACATCAAAACATGAAATAGTTAAGGACTCTTAAGGTGAAATAGACACTTTTTATTTATCATATGAATTAAATATATAATTATATATTTATCATATGAATAACAAGATTACTATTTTTGTGCCAGAGATCCATTTGTTGAATTTCTGTTCTCCTTCCAGAAGTATAAAAAAAATAATAATAATAATTTTTTCTCAAGACTTGGGACATTCCTCCCCATCATGTGATCAGTCTTGACACACTAGAGTCACACACTAGAGGGCGCTGCAGGACAGTCTCCTGATTCGCAGTCTGAGCCAATTATCACTCAGATTCATTGAATAATTTTCCACGTTGAAGACAAAACCACACAAATTTGGGGATTTTGTGTTCCACAGGCTGCATCTTTTCAAGCGTCCTGCCAAATGAAACCTTTTGTGTAACTGATATAATTCTCATCACATTTTAAAGACAACCGTCCGACAGCGTTAACAACGTAATGGATTTTTTTTCCCCATGATTATAGTCTCTTGACTCGAAGCGGCCTCATGTTATTACAAAGTGTGAGATTTAGTGTGCGCGTACCACCAGGCCCAGATATTCACACCACCTCTGAAGCACGCGGGGCGTCGTAAATCACGGCCCTTGTCCCACTCGAGCAGAGCCTCGCGTCCCTAGTCATAACAGTCTAATGGCCTCAGGCGGAGACGTCTCTCTGATTGGGCGTCGCGTGTGGAAACATGGCTATCGTTTTCTGAAGGCTCTTTCTCCTCAAACAGAGGTGTCCAGTTTCTCAGTCTTCTGCTTTCCCTTCAGGAAAAGTCAGGAGGAGGTCCGAGCTGTGAGAAGGACCAGATCTCCCTGAACTTCATCTGTTTCGCAGAATTAAAATGGAAATAGATGACTTTCTCTTTTTCAGCGTTTGATTCTAGGTGGGCGATATTCGTCCACACAATGGGTTTCCAGTGCGGCCCTTCGGGAACGTTGTTGCTATGACAAAATGCATACTTTCACTGAGCACGCCTGTGTTTGATGCTAAACATTTCAGTTGGCTTTCATCAGAGGAAACGAGCTATTGTGCCCACACGGGTCCTGCGGACCAGACCGCTCCTTTAATCCACGTGAAGCGGGTTCCGTTTTTCTGCTCTGCAGCTTTGATGTCGGCATCAAAGTGGTCGCAGCGAAAAGAACTTGAACATCCGCGTTATTGTCCAAGAAACGGGGTCGTTTTGTTGCTATTGCGTTGACCTCGTCCAGTGCACAGGCCCTGAATGGCACCAGGAAGTTGCATTCTATGTTCTCTCTATCTGCTGTAGTTCTGCGGTGCGCTGTTCCCCGGCTGTGTGGTCCCTGGACCTGCTTTATGGGCTGACAGCAGTGGCTCTTACACAACCAGGGATCTGGAAATAATCCGCCTGTCTTAAAGAGCTCATTTAGTCTTGAGATGGAGCCTTTCAGCAGTGTGTGTGTGTGTGTGTGTGTGTGTGTGTGTGTGGTGTGATGGACCAAACCCTCTGTGCTTTGTCTTAAACAAAGACTCAGAGGGAAGAGTCGTTGGTTACAAACACTTGCAGACACTGTCCTAATAGCAGATGACGGATCGCTGCTCTGTGTTTAATATGGAAACCAGTCGCCCCCTGCTGGCGTAAACAAATAACAAACCTTGCCATTCAGAGGTGTCAGTACATCCCCTGAAGAATTACTGTAGTGTGTGTGCTCCAGTAAACTTTGTCTGCTGCCTTTAAAAAGGCAGAAAAGTGTTTAACATGTTGAGGTGATTACTGTGCCTGGAATAAATACTTAATTAAAGGGGTACCTCACTCATCTGAGATGTTTTATGTTTATTTTTAATCACCGTAGGGCCCGCGTCGTCTCTTAAGTGAATGACGTTTCAGAGAACACAGGACTGAAACATTTTTCCCGCGTTAAAGAAAGACTTTGCCGTGGCGTCGTCAGCGATTGCTGTCATAGTAATAAACACAAGACGTTAATCGGTTTTACCAGCACAGAGCGAAAAAGGGCAGCCGGGGTCGAAAGGACAGCATCCTGGCCGGGCCGCCCATAACATCATCACAGCATAACCACTACAGAGGCAGGCAAAGACGTCAAGCTGTCAGCGTGGGAACACGGCAATGGCTCTGAGCAGGAGGGATGATTTTCACAATTTGAGGCCTTCGCGGCGAGAAAAAAAAAAAAAAAGGAGGAGTGGACAGCATCATTGATTTGGAGCAGGGGGAAGGAGGGTGGGATGCATCAACTGGAGGGAAACACCCACATCACCGTGGCTTTTAAAACACGTTAAGTTGCACAGTATGTCGCAGTGCCAGTTTGCGGCTTCCTTTGGTGACCACTGGTACACTGTTTTCCTTAGATAGAGGAGGTGCATGAATGAAATAATCAAAACCGCTGGCTGCTGCAATAATTGGGACCGACTCCACCCAGACCCTTACCAGATTTCCTCGTGTTTTACTGCATTAGAAAAGAGAACAGGGGAATGACTGCAACCGCTGCCAATCACTCAAACCTCAGCGCAAAAGAGCAGCGCTTCTTTAAATAAAATCCAGAGTGGAAAAAAAAACGTTTTATAGCAAAATACAGCAATTTTTCTTTGCTTGGGATGTGACCTCTTCAGTGACATCGAACGTAGGCTGTGGATAAACACAGTCCTGCTTTCGTGCTCCGGTGAAGTCATGCTTCCAGGCAATGTTAAGGTCCCGGTTGTGGAAAAGGCTCCGGCGTCCCGCGGCCTCTGGCTCGGTTCTTGTGGATGTGAGAGTTTACCAAACTTTAAAACCACTCTCCACGGCTCTGGATGAGAACGAGAAACAGCCTCTTACACGAGCATCTCCAGCGATACTGTAGGTGTGTACGTGTGCTGAGGAGGGGAGGGGGGAGGGGGATGGGGGCAGCGCAACCTGGCTTTGTTTTGGTGAAGCCTGTCGACTCAGCAGGTGCTCCAATTACCAGATCTCCGTGCCGCATCTACCCTCTGAAACAGGACCGGCTCCTTTTGAGCTGCCCGTCGGCTTTTGATGAGGCCCAGATCACACATGCCACATGTGGGACGCGCAGCTCGCTCAGGCACTCGGCGAAAACCAACGGCCGCAGCGTGGTGCCCGCCGCCGTTTGATATCGGTATTTCCAGTGGGTGGCGAGACGGAGAGGGAAAGTGGGAGCAGAGAGCATGAGATGAGGAAGAGAAGAGAAGGAACGAAATAAAAGTGTTGGCATCCAGACCTTTTTCCGGTCCTCTTGTGTGACGCTGCCAGCTCTAACCAGTCGGATGTTTTATCTCGGCCCACAGTGTGCCCGGACAGCTTTTATGGTCTTGACTGTGGCCAGATGTGCGAGTGCAGGAACGGTGCCCGCTGCCACCACATCACAGGAGGCTGCCTGTGCACCGCCGGCTGGGCAGGACCACACTGCACTCTGGGTAATGGAAGCCACATCATTAAAACGGGGTGTGAGGGAGGCCCTCACCGAAGCCCATCACGACATCCTCTCCTTAAAACGCAACTATGATGCGTTTGTGAACAATTATCTCTACAAGGAGACATCGGCAAAGACTTTTTTAGGGATGGGGGAGATGGGAGGGGGGGGTGGGGGAGGGAGGGAGGGGCAACAGGGCCCTCTGGCGAACATGGTTGGATGGAGGTCTATTTTGGATAAATGCACTCAGTGTTTATAGCGATCAACATTAGAGAAGGCTCTTTAGCAGCTAACCAATCAGTGTTCTCATGCTAAAGTTTTTTTTTTAATGGATCCAATGAAATGCCCACTAAAGTTCTTAGCCTGTCATTCTGCAGACTTATTCGAGGCTTTCCTTTTGGCACGGCCCTTTTGTGGTCCTGACTCCTACCGCTGGAGTCAGCAGAAAGCCACTCGCGAGACTCAATGACGCACCTCTGTCATCAGTGCCGTTTCCTCTCCGAAATGTCGTCTCGGACGTCCGTCACGATGAAACCGTCCTCGAGCTCTTCAGTGTCACACATTCGCTGCAAATATAAGCGAGCGGCTGCCTGTTTAAAGTTCAGTTTTGTCTCCTGTTGTGTGGGTAGAATGCCCAGACGGTTATTTCGGGGAGCGGTGCAGTCAGACCTGTGAGTGTCAGAGCGCAGGCACGTGTGACCACGTCAGCGGGCGATGCAGCTGTGCAGCACGTGGACTGGGGTCAGCTGCCATGCTGCGTGGGTAGCTAATCACGCAGCATGGCAAACCCGCGCGAGGGTCTTGCTGCTGTTTTCAGCTCATGCGATAGAGATTGACTATAATTTACATGACAGTTATCAATTTTACCAAACATGCTACCGTGTTTTGGCGGCGGTTTCCCTTCATTTTCATGCGTTACATAAATTATTAGACTTCTAGACAACTTGGGAAAGTCTTAAAAATTCTTATATACTTTAAGATTGATTCTATATATCCGCTGATGAAAATGTATATTCAATAAGAACACCTACTATTGTATAACTGGCATCCAAAAGCGGTCTGCAAAAGCAGTAAAGCTCTAATTTTCCGGTCAAAGGTCACATTTGTTGTCCTGATACCGTCCTTTAAAGGCACTTTTCAAACGATCACTTCAGAAGTTGAAGTCAGAGAACAGCTGGACGTGTGGAGGTGTTGCAAACTATTGTATGATCAATGTGATTTAATAATTGCTATCACATACGTGATACATGCATCATAGATGTGCAGTGTCTTCATTCAATGAACTCTCTGTGCTGTGTTGTGTGATGCGTGCGCGTTCAGCCTGTCCACAGTCAGCTGAGGTTTCCTTTCCCTCTCCGCTAGAGTGCGAGGAAGGAACTCATGGAGAGAACTGCGCTCAGACCTGCAGCTGTGCAAATGGAGGCAGATGTGACGCAGTGGCGAGAAGATGTGTGTGTGTGTGTCCGCCCGGTTGGACGGGGGAGCTCTGTCAGTCAGCTGACTTCACATCCGCCTCACGGCTCATTGGTTATTGTCTCACTCTTTTTCTATATGTATAGAAATTTTGTTGTTATTTGTCGGTTGTCAGTTGTCACTGAGCAGTTTCCCTCATCAGCAAAACAAAAAAGATCATATTCTTCTGGAAACATTAAACTCGATGGCTCAAAGCACTTGGTGCCTTTAGCCTCGGTTAATTAAGCATTAACAGTGTTGTTCTACGAGTTTAATGCCGTGTGCTGAATGCTCCAGAGTTAGTTGTGTCTTTTGTACCCTGGAGCCTGTTCGAAAGGGATTCTTTGGAGAGGGCCGTGTGCAGAGGTGCGCCTGTGTCCATGGTTCCGGTTGGCACCACGTGACGGGCCGCTGTGAGTGCGAGCCGGGGCCGGAGGGAGTTCAAACGGAGTCCAGGTGGCGCCTGTGACGCAAGATAGTACTGACTCGCGTGTGCCTGCATGTGTACGTCGACACACAGCCTCCCATCCGGGGTCCTACGGCGCTTCCTGCGCCCAACGGCGCCGGTGCCAGGCCCGGGGTGTCCTGTCACCACCGGACGGGGAGATGTGGGTGCCCCGCTGGACTCACGGGGGCCTGGCTGCGAGAAAAGTGAGAATGACAAGAAAATAAAACAATAAAACGCTTTGCTGCACCAGGATTTATTTTCCCGAAGCATTTTCGATTGGATGTCAATTGTAAAAAGGCAAAACTGTGGTGATTGAGCGAGCCGGGGCACACGGCTGATGTCCCTGTCGTGGGACAGCACCACTCTCATCAGGGAGTAAAGTGATCACCCCGGATCATTCTGTTAATACTGATTAAAATGTCTCTCTTTTTCTTCTGCTGGTCCTCCTGGGGAAGATTACCGTTTATTCCACTCCAGGAAATGCACTAAACCCTCACTGTCGCAGGACTTTATGCTAATGTTTAATTATGTAGACCGTATCCTTTAAGACTTCACCGCTCAAGCCTTTCTCTCCTCACACACTCCCCAGACATCTGATAAACGTTACACACCGGTTGCCAAGTAAAACAGAAGGCATTGTTTTTGTCTCCTCGGCGGCGGATAAGGGCCTTTGGAAGGCAGACACGCATAATGACAGCGGCGTAATTGCCTCTTTAGTCTGGAGTCCTTGCTTATCTGTGCCCCACGCCGCCGCCGCTGCCCCGACTGAGTCAGCGAGTGCCGCGGTCTCACTCGTAAACATGGCGGGTTCACAGATTCGTCTTGTTGGCCGTGACTGATTGTCTGTGGACTCCATTCATTATTGTGATGAGTACGTACGGATGCATGGAGGAAGGCTGTGTGAAAGAATGTTGCTCCGCTCCCATTTGGTTTGGTTACCATTGAATCCCGAATGCCGCAGAAATGGCACTTTAAGCACGCTTTTATAACAAATCTGTGTCTTTTGCTTCACACAGTGTTCACTAACACACCCTTTTATAATCAAAAAACACTACTTTATGGCCGGCTATACTACACTTTATATGTTGCCATTGTAGCTCCGGAGCTAGCATAGTATAGAAAAGAGGGGGTATAAAAAACGACAATGACAATGACATAAGTACTTAGGCCTGAAATTGTTTGCTAGTTAAAATTGTGGCTCAAATTACAGGCTCAAGTCTTCTTGGGCGTGATGTGACAAGCCTTGCACACCCAAAGACAACTTGCACCCGATTGTGCTAACGAACAAGGACATCTTTCTCACATCTCATATGCCCACTTCTCACTACTACTAATACTACTACTATTGTGCACAAGTGATACATTCTGATCTCCTCAGCTTGTCCTACTGGCATGTTCGGGCAAAACTGCAGCAAGCCGTGCCGATGTCCAGGGGAACGAGAGCAGTGCCATCCGGTGACGGGGAAATGCAGCTGCTTGCCTGGTTACTACGGTGCGCGCTGTGAGCTACGTGAGTACAGTACGCAGACTAATATGAGGCAAGTAAGGAGCTGGCTGGGAGAAATGTGGGAGCTGTGCAGACGTTTGGCCCAATTTGTAGATTTCCATTGAACTGTTGAAAAAGCTGTTTCTACAATATATTTGGAATCCTGCAAGTATGACACCCAACAGAGCTTCCCTTTCGGACTCCTGACTGTGGTTTGTCTCCAGGATGTCCAGCGGGGACTTTTGGGCCAAGCTGCAAGTCCAGATGCAGCTGCATCAACGGTGGTCGCTGTGACTCCAGCACAGGGATCTGCTACTGTCTGCCCGGCTTTATCGGAGCTGACTGCAGCTCCAGTGAGTCAAGTAACCTCGCACCTCCCTGTCTGCATCCCTTTCGTGGTCGTCATTGGGGTTTAGTCTTTTAGTTTTAGTTGCTCATTTTAGTTTCCTTATTGAATTGGAGAATCCTGGCTTATAAAACGAAGATGTTTTCTGTTAATAACCTTTGCATGAATGAGACATGTTTGATTACGCAGGCTGTCCGAGTGGATACTACGGGAAAGACTGTGGTAAGCTGTGCTCCTGTGGAGACGGAGGGCAATGCCACTCAGCAGATGGGACGTGCATCTGTGCCCCCGGTAGGATGGGACAGTCCTGCCAACAAGGTAACACTATACGGATGTATTGCTTGTTTGTGCTTTTTGTCCTAGACCACAGATGAGGGCGTATAGCCATTGTTGGACTATTTAAGACATGTAGCTGCTGCCACATCCTGCAGGCTGAGATCCCCAAAGCTAATTGTGTAATATTATGAGGGACGGATTAAGTTATACGTAGTTTCTACAATTTCTTGTTAATGTTATTGTTAATATTCACTCATCTTAATAAAGCATTACGATATTCTAGAGACTAAATAAACTACGTGTTCAAATGAAAGTCATTAAATCAAGTTCTAGCATATTTAATATCAATGACTATCAATGTCTATTTGAAATGCAAAATCTATTTATGTACTACTAATCGAAAAAGCAGTGGGATTGAAAGTATTCACCCTTTTGAGGCGAGAAGAAATGACTCTAAACTGATTTACTAGAGGCAATTCGAAGATATCACAGATATGAAAGCTAGCCTTGTATCTTTTGTCCTCCTGTGGCCGACGTGCATCAGTGGGAACCACTGGCCGCGACCAAATACAGAACTGGGACGGCTAACTGGAAAGTGAGAAACCACTAAAAACGATGAAGCCTTTTTTCAACATTTCTCATACACTGTATATTTAACCAACAAATTCTCCATTTCCTCCTCGAGAGGCCTCCGATGATCACAGGCCTGTTTTCCCTGGAAACCGAGGCAGAATCTGGCTTTCTTAATCACTCCCCTTTTCAGCAATTTAGCTGGATTGCGAGCGGGGCTTTCCATTACTGCCAGCGCTAAATGTCCTCTCCTTCAGTCCCCTGCATTGTACATACCACCTCTTAAGTTCCTCTTGTTGAATGTTTACAGAGACCTAGAAGTAACTCGTTCTCCGTGTTCCGTGTCGCTGGATTTGGCGCGGGAGCAAATAAATAAACAGGAAAATCAAAGACCGCTTGCTTATTGTTTTCCCAATCTAAATTACCCAGAGAAACATGATTATACTTTTATATCAGTGCCAAATTAGACTCCTTTGCTTAAATAAACATCAATGTGCTCGGTGCAATCTTATATACGTGTGAGTGTGTGTGTGCGCGCGTGTGTGTGTGTGTGTGTTGCTGAGTTGTTGCAGAGCACGTCTCCCCTTCTGCCTCGTCTTCTGTAACTGCACAGTGTACAGTGTTTAAATAAAATAAAGTGTGGATTAAACATACTGTATGAAGTGTACGGCGTTTGAAGAACATATGCAAAGTTTAAAGTGACAGTACGGCGTATAAAATACAGTCAAAGCAATAAATGTATAGTGGTAAATGAATACGGTGAATAACAAAATGCATACGGTGGAGGTATTGCAGAAAATACATCAAATATCCAAAGTGTTGAATGCATTAAGTGGATAAAATGCATAGCACTGTCTCCTCACAGCAAGATGCTCCTGGATACGACTCCACCCAAAATGTGTAAAAAAATAAGTCATATACGATTCATCCTGCGGTCTTTTGAGTGAAAGAGAGCATTGTGTTGTCTGTGTGTGTGTCATGGATTGCCGACTGGCAGGTGTCGTCGTGTCCTGATATTCTCTGAATGTTCCTTTAGCGTGTCCTAGGGGGCGCTACGGGCTACAGTGCAGGAACGCGTGCAGCTGCCACAACGGCGGCCGGTGCGACCCCGGCGACGGGACCTGCCAGTGTGGACTGGGCTGGACCGGAGCCCGCTGTGACACCGGTACAACGTTACAGGCCACTTCATGGACGCGAAACATCAAATAACCTCAACTGAAGCAGAACAGTGTGCAGTTCACGTAAAACACATAAAAACATACAGAAAAAACAACTGTGATCCACTTTTCATCAGCTTCAGCATCAGCTTCCTCCACTTTTTACGATACTCGCAAATAGTATTTTTGCTGAAATGAAGGTACATAACTAAGTTTGTGTGTGTCTATGTCTGTAGCCTGTTCTCACGGGAAATACGGGCTTGATTGTGCGCAAGAGTGTCAATGCCTCAACAATGGGACCTGCGACCGTTTTACTGGCACCTGCACCTGTGCGGCTGGATTCTACGGCCACGCCTGCCAACACGGTACTCAAACACGCACATGTGATATGAAAAAACACACATATTCCTTGTGAAATGAGCCTTTTCATCCATACGCTGCAACAAGGGGCCGCGACCTAAATTCCGTTCCTTGTGTGTGTCTCTCTCAGAATGCCCACCTGGATTCTTCGGAGTGAACTGTGCTCACGTGTGCGACTGTGAAACGTGGCACACCTGCGACCATGTGACGGGCCGATGTGTGTGTCCACCAGGTCACTACGGACCACAATGCCAAAGACGTGAGTATGCACAGGTGACTTTCAACTAAAGTCCGTACAACTGCACTCAAACGGGTTCAACGGGCTGCCAGAAGGGCAAAATCTCATCCCTCAAGTATCTGGAACAAGTTTCGGTGTGTGTTCTGGCAGACAGGCAGACAAACAGGCAGACAGACTAGCGGGTAAGTGGGCAGGCGAGCAGCCTGGTGGTTTGATGAGAGACAGGTGTTTCTCCCGGCTGCTTAATGCTTTCCTGTTACATCCTTGTGCCTCCCGCCGGCTCGCCGGCTCTCAGCCGCGGTGCGAGCGCCTAAATGGCCACTTCAGTCCCAGCAGGGGACACGGCGAGACTGAGCATTGCAGACGTGCTGCAACCAAAGGCTCCAGAGACGCAGCCTGGCTCTTGTCTTGCGTTGCACTACAAGCACTTGTGCATTTGAGCGGATCTGTTTTCTCCACTACACGCATCAGTGTGCATTTCTATCAAGGAAGACGATCAAAGGGCTCTTAACTACGGCCTGCATTTGTTGTCAGGGTGTGAAGCTGGCAGGTTTGGACTGAGCTGCGGACAGTCCTGTGACTGCGCCGGAGGGTCCCCATGTGAAGCCTCCACCGGGCGGTGCCTCTGTCCCCCAGGGAGGACAGGGCGGAGATGCGAAAAAGGTAGAGGTCGCCTTTAATTAGCGTGACTTACATGAATGAGAAATAAAAGTTCAGACCGAAAGTGCAGGAAAACTTCACGCAAGCGTCCCGTCCCGGTGGAGACCGGTACGGCCCCGACTGCTCTCTGCCGCGTCAGTGCTCCCACGGGGCTCGCTGCGACGGGCGGAGTGGCCGATGCCTGTGCCCGCTCACCTGGCTGGGCCCCACCTGCAGGCAAGGTGAACCTGAGCTGAACCTATTAGAGAATTTCATGTTGGGGCAAGTTGATTCTGCGATCATTTGAGCGCTGGAGTAAGTCAGCCGTCGCTTGTGCGTGAACTTTTCACGTTGGACTTGAACTCCGTTTCAGTCCGTTGTCTGTGTTTTGATGTACATGTCAGGCAGAGTTTCAAAACACAAAGACTTTAATAGTCAAAATCAAAAAATCTAAATGCCAGGGGGAAAAACGTACAGACGGGAACCAGGAACACTTTGGCATGGTGGGCATTCAACAATGACGCGACAAGTGACAAGAGACACACACAGCTTAAATACACTAGGGAGGTGCAGGTGATTGGACACAGGTGGAACAATCAGACAATCACAGGGGATGACAGGACAACGCAGGAAGTGAAGTTACCCTGGGACACAAGAGGCAGAAAACTACAAAATAAGACAGGAAACAAATCCAAACCGTGACAGTACACTGCCATTAAGATCACAAACCCCTATGGTGTATATTTCAAATTGCAATAGACGATACACGAGAAATTAAGGTTAAATGCAAAAAATTGCATTTAAAAAAGTTTCCAGTTCCACACACACACGCACACACTAAAGCTGAACCAGCTTTGGTGAAATACAGTGTCCTGAAGTGCGAGAGGCTGAGCCCCATCACTCAGTATGTCACCCTGTCTCCCTCAATAGCTGCTCCCGTCTCCAGACAGTTATTTTAATCTGCACCCAGCATGGAGCCGAGCTCGAGGCTGCCTTCGTTTTACCCCCCTCCAAGCACAGCACACGGGAGACCACGTACCAGTGACTTCTCCTCCAAAACCCCACAACATTTGCTTTTCATTTCAAATAGTGCTGATGTCTACTTTCTCTTTTTTTTTCTTTCTCCCTTTTCAGCGATGCTCCAGCAAACCCCGGGGCCGCTGAACCTTTCCGGGTCCCTAAGAAAGAGAAGAGCAGGCTGCAAAAACACATAACCCGAGCAGAGGTGCAAAGTCCTGACCGGACGCTCCAACGGGGGGACTTGAACTCCGTGAACCATGACTCAGATCATCTTGGTGAAGGTGATGGTAGCGATAGTACGGCTTGGTGAAAGCGGTGCTGCATCCCTGGGCCTGGAGCTCGGGGCTAATCATCACCCAGTGGACCTGGCGTGTCAGAGAAGGACCATAAACTGTTAACCTGCCCCAGACTGTCTAAGATTTCAAGTGCAGGGTTACAAAGACTTCTTGGGAATTCAAACAAATACTTTTGTGACTATAGCTGATCATCGCTTTCCGGTTTGATGTTTAATGAGCCGTTACAGTTTCTCTGTGAAGTTATGGATAACTTATTTACTCCTTGTGGAAAATGAAAGTCAAGACACACAAATATAGAGACTGCAGACTTAAGGTTAAAAATAGGGTCCAAAAAGAAGATAAATTATTTTGGTAAATGACATCTAACTCCTTTTCTAGAAAATTAGAATTCATCAACATGAAAAGACTATTTTGTAATTCACTTCTACTTTACAAAAGAAATGGTACTAGCTACACGTGTCTAATGTCGGCGTTAATTCCAGCATCTAGAATTTCATCTTTTCATCTTTTCATTTCACAAATGTTTACTGGTACATTTTTATCAGATCATTGGTTTGTTGGTTTACAGATCACTAAACTTTCACAGGAAAAGGGTAATTAACGTCTTTTATTTGCCCTTTAGAAATGCAAAAATGAATTGCGACCCCGATCCGTTTATTAGAATTGATGGGTTTTCTTGTTGCAATGCAGCGTGCTGGACATTGCATTTGTTTTCTTTGTTTCTTACGTTTGGTCAGCGGCTGACATGGACTTTGGGAGTCTTATAAAAAAAAAATCAAATGATCTTAATACTTTTTTTCTTCAGTAAGTGTACCCATTTGTGTTGCCGCACAACGTCAGCCTTTTTTCACAGAAAGATCAGCATCACTACTGCCAGCACTCTGCCAGTGTATTGGATGTAATCTGTTTTATGCTTGTAAAAACTGTATTGTTTAAATCTCAGGTCAATGTCAGTTATCAGTCATCACTTGTAATGTGCTCGTTTTCTATCAGCGGTGCTACATGGATCCATTTGTTGTGCAAAACCAATAAACTCTATTCGTACAGTCACCTTTTCAACGGCCCTTTTGCTACTCGTGGTCGTGTTTAGACTAAAACAAAGAGAAAAAGCACCACGAACCAAATAAACGACTGCAAAAAAAACAACGGACAGCTGCCTTTAAACATCTATTCTGTAATCTGTAAGTGCTTTGAATGCAGCGTTGCATGGTATTGATCTCTGGGACCTCGTAGTGGGGTGGGAGGGTTCAGTAAGGTGTGGAGGGACAGACGGGAGGGGGTTGTGGGACCCAGCTGTCACAGAGACCTATGGCATCATGTGTGTGCAGATGTGTCAGTGTGCGGTTTTGTGCGAGGCATCTCTCATCAGCCAGCAAAGGGTCGGAGCAATAAGGCCGAGCCCGCCTTCCTGGCAGTAGTCCAAAACCAGTTGCACTGTGGGTGGAAGGTTTGCGTGTCGTTGTGTGCCTGCTCCGCTCTTTGTGTGTGTGTGTGTGTGTGGGGGGGGGGGGGGGGGGGTATGGGGGGGTGTTGTCAGTGTCAGACCGAGCGTGCTCCTCCTGAGGTATTTTTCAAGTGCGCTGGTGCATATTCTCCCCCCGTCGGCCGAGGGCGGGCTGTGGGCCGGCAGAGGCGGGCAGGTGCCTGGACCAAACCCCCCGCGCCCCACATCCAGCATCCCCGGTGTGAGTGATGGGTGGACGGGCCCCACGGCTAGCAGAATATGGCATCCCCCCCAACCCCCTCTACACTCTCCGGTGCGGCTGATAGATGGGGGGGCAGTCCGGCTCGCCCCCGTGTTGTGACAAGCAGCAGATGTTCTCCAATAACATTTATCGGCCAGGCCTTCATCTTCGGATGACACGCACCTGTTTCCAGTCAAACAGCCCCGGAGAGGCCATCCATCTACTGAGCCCTGGGTGGCCACGGCACCGCTGGATAGCCCCTCCACCGGAGAGGTGGAAAAAACATTTTTAGCTACACAAAAAATTTCATTCGAAGCCAACCGACGGACAGTATGCAGCCTGGGCGTGCAACTGACTTTGGGTCTTCCTCACAGGAAGGAATCAGAGGAAGTACATAACTTGTGACAAAACACGACATCCAAATGTGCTTCTCATCAAGAGTGTGGTTGTACTAACCCGTCTGAACGGCACGGCCGATCACAGCTGATCAGCTCGTCCCTTCTCATCGGACGCCACCACCGGGTCTGGAGTCATCTCGCTGAAGGCAGAAGTCAGACGTCCGTCATTTGCAATCGCACACCCACCTGCAGCTTCTTCCCCTCCTTCTTTCTTCCTCCACACTATTTATAAGTATGTTTGTTACTACTCTGGAACATATTTGACAAAAAGATCATGGATGGATATCGAGTCTGCCGAGCAGACAAACAGGGGCCCACGGTGTGTTTTGTGCTTATGGAGGGTCAGGCCTTTTGCATATCCAAGGTCACAGGTCAATGGTCTCATGCTAATGATCAATAGGACTTAGACATTTACCATTTAGAAATGTATTTTAAAAGTGCAGTTACACAAAAGGGTATTTGCTTCAGTAACAAATGTAAATGCAATGTCCTACCACAGCAGATAACTGTGCCACAAATGAACCGCCAAAATGTTGAAATACATAACCTACATACGGATCTTTTAATTTAAGGAAAAGAAGCTGATTAAGACAATATTTTTGTACTTGAACAGACATTTTTTTTTATGACAAAAACATGAAGAAAGATGCTGGTTGTGCTGAAAGGAGAGGAGGGGGAGGCCTATCGTTATTTGCATGCTGGCTCATCAGGAGTGCAGGAGAGGGAGAGAGAGTGAGATGAGTGCAGGAAACTGCAGATGAAATAGCCCGTAAAAGGTAAGATCGCATCATGGGTACTTTTTCGCCGTAATTAAGCACAAGCCACTCTTTGCAAAAAAGATTCTATCACTTAACTGCCATGGCTTCAAATCCCAGAGATCATTTTGACCCCTCTGCGTTGAACCGGATCTCCCAGAAGGCCGTGGTGTTTTGAACTCCAGCTGACAAAGCTGTCGGCTCAGATAAGAGAGCGAGATGGGAAATCATTTGAGCACGTCCTGCACCATTTGCTAAGTTGTGGCCTGGAAAAATAAATGTTAAATGTCAAGGCTGCAAAAAGATACATATCAAGGAACTCTCCCACACTCTGAATGTGGTGGCGGTGAAAAGAAGGAGCTTTGGATTCACACTCGTCAGCAAATGTGTGTCCTTCAGCAGCAACGGCCATGTGCCCTGCTCTAACTAGATATCCAACTAGACATGTACACATGTAGTGATTTGTTGGACATTAAACGGGTGAAATCTTGAAGTTTAACTAGCCGTGGGCCGGTGTAAATTAGCATATTCACCACTGGGTGGCGCTCAATATAGAAAAAAAGGATGGATGCACTGAATTTACATGTGATTTAACTGAGTCCATGTGAATACATAGCTCATGATACAATAAACATAATAAAGTTAATTATTATTACTACTATTGAGCCAAAATAAGAATCAAAATTGGTGAATTACGAGTGTGTTTGTACATACAGAACATTTTTAAACACATATCGAACATAATCGAACATTGTAAAAATTGTAAAAATTAAAACATACAATGAAACAACAATCAAGTTAAGAATAAATGAAGGTAAGTCAGTGTTATTAGAGTGCCAGGTGTATATTTAAAGAGTTGTGCATGGGTAAATGTCCGTAATGTCCTTTAAGAGCCAGAGTCAGTGGGGGTCCATCCAGCTTTTTCATAACAGTTTCAGCAGAACCAGAACCGTAATGTTCTCCGCCCGATACCTAAAAATGCAGCTGAGCGCCTAAAATGAGCTACCTACTAATCTAGTCTGTGAGCCGAGAATGAGAGCAGGCTCCGAGCGGTTCTGCCACCACGCCTGTCCTGATTAGACTATGGTCATATTAAAACCATGTGCAGCTCTGTGCTGAGTGTCCATCAATAACACTAATGACCCGTAGCCTCCAGGGAGGAAAACAAACGCAGTAATGAAACCACTATACCTTAAGCTCTGCTGCTTTCTAAGAAGGAGAAGGTCTGACTGGCCTGCAATTATCTGCTCTGCAAACACACACACACACACACACACACACACATTCAAGGGAGGCCCCCGGACAGAGGAGTTGCAACCTTTATTGTAAACACAAACAAAAACCTGATGTGCCGATCTGTGGAGTCTCCCCACCCAATCACACTCCACCACTTGCGCCAACTGTTAGCCAGCACCACCCCATCCCGTCCCCTCTTAAAGGCCACGCTCCCACACCCATCCACGCGGAGAAATGTTTCCCCTGGCGTCTGAGTCAGCAAGGGTGCCAAGTCAATCAGCGTGAGAGCTGCCAGCTGTGATGGCGTCGCACTCTGGGGGTGTGATGTATGTTCCAGCGAGAGGGTGGGAAGGGGGGGGGGGGCAGTTGTGTGCCACACAGGGTTGGCTGCGCGAGCGGGTGGCAGAGGAGAGAAGGAGGAAGGAAAAAGAGGATGGAGGCCGAACGGGAGCAGTAATGAGGCCTGATGGAATCTGAGGCCGTGCCAGCTCCCCCATTAGCTGAGTGGCTCCGAGCGCCACAGACACACACGCACACCTACACACACACACACACACACACACGCGCATGCACTGTAGGTGCACAGCAGGTTGGGGATCCCGCCCCTTTGACACACGCAAACACATTTAACTAAAACAGATTGCATTGGCTAATGCAAACTCTTCTGTCTAACTTCCTCCGGCCTTTAATGAACACGCACTTAGACGCCCCCCCCCCCCACACACACACACACTCATCCGGGGCCGTGCCAGCCACACTTTAATGCACTCTATGCCCTTTATGAGGAGGTGTGGGTTAATGATGGCGGCAATAACTCGTCCCAACGTGTTGATTAAGTGTGAGAGGATACATGGGTGACATTGGCGTGTGCCGATCAACACTGATCAAACCGAGTGGTACGCCGCCAAACTCACCTCCTCACACAACACACACGCAGTGGCATTGCACACACTGCTGTCTATTCATAATATCTTGGTGTTCTTACAAGAATCAGAGCCTTTGGATTTTTGTCCGGGGGAAGGTCTTTATGTAGGCGATGTAATTACATGGGCAATTTGACGTGTAGTGGGGGGGGCGTGGCCACAGGGGCCCGGGAGTTAAAGCAAAGAGCGGTGACTAATATGCCAGGTAGGAACGTCCCTCCAGATGCTTCTGCTGAACGTGGAAATAACAAGTTCAACATATCGCGTTAAAGGGGGGATGAAAAATCAGTGCCGTGTTCAAAAGTTATGCATTTCTTTACGACTGCTGACAACTTCACGTAACCGAATAAATGAGTCCACAATATTACAGGTGGCAAAAACCACACTCTAAACAATTATCGCCGCCACTCCATTATGTCTTTGTCCTGCGCCATCGCTGGCATCGCTGCAGCTGACCTCATCAAAGCTGGACGACCCGTGCTGACCTCATCAACACCGCGCGACCCCCCGTGACCTCATCAAGCTGGACGCCCCGTGGAGCCCTGAGGGCCGACGACAGGCCCTAAGAAAACACCCCATCCATTAGGGTGCCAAGAGCACTGTAAATGTGGGGTGTCAGCGCCAACCATCTTCACTGTCATGCCCAATTCTCCGACCCCCCCACCCCACCCCAAGCCACTCTCTGGACAATGGAGCCGCTGAACCTCCACCCCTCCCAGCCACAATGTCCGCCCACGTCGGCTGGCAGCGCTGACAGAGGGGAGGGTGTGGGGGGGGGGGGGGTTGGCGGATGGGGAGGCCTGCTGGAGGATGGGACTCTTATTGAGCGTTTGAGCGATGAGCCAGGTCATCACATCCACCCAACTCATCCATCATGCCCCACAAACGGACGCAAATAAAGAAGACACATTCCTGCCTCCGCTCCCACTACCGCATTCAAGCCCTCCGCAGCCTTTTCTCCTCTGCCCTCGCTCTAGGCGAGCCGACGCTCGGAGGAAAAAAAGAAAAGAGAAGAGGACCAGAGTTCAGGCTCTGCCTCACTCCTGGAGGCCATGGGAGCGCCAGAAGAAAGCGCCAGGTGTTTTTTTTTTTTTTTGGACTCGACGCGTCTCTTGGTATAAATCTGTGCTCGGGCCAAACTCATGGGCAGCAGCAAGGACTGCACGCTTGGGTGGGGGATGTGGGGGGGTGATGGAGAGAGAATGGAGGACAAGTTAATCCACATTGTAGTCCTTTATTTCTTAGTTGTTCCTCCCACAGTATTGAATTGAAATGCATAACAGTTACATTGTAGAAAGCATTAAAACAAAAGTACCTCAACTTGCTGATTACTTTTTAAATCGATTATAAACAAAACAACGACATAAACAAACCAAAAGAATCTGGTCCCTAAAAACGGGAGAATAAATGAAAGTAATCTGTTATTTATCATAAATTTGGCACAAGGGATTAACATGAACCGAACGTCACACAAGCTTGCAGACAACCGTAGAAAATGTCAGATACAGATCTTACCAGACCAATCATGCGTTTATGGAGAAATTAGACCTGGCTTTTTTTTATTATTCATTCTTTGTCATTTTTTTTCATCATTAAATTGTCATAGAAAAAAAAAAACCTAAGTAATATCTACTCATCGACCGGTTCCATTAGAAGAATAAGGAGTGAATTGTATGTTTAATACTATCCGGCACTCAAATGTAATCTACAAACCCCATTGAACTCTGGGAAAGGCCCGGTGAGGAATCCTCCACCCGGGCTAAGAGCAGTGCTATTCAGTAAACAAACTACAGTTTGCCAAGAAATAAATACAATTCTCAACATACAACAGCAAATAACAACAACAACACCAACAAAAAAAATGAAAACAAAATCATGATTGTCTAAAAATGAAAGACACACAAGCATGGAGTAGCTAACGACTAGCATTCAGGCTATTTAGTGGTATTGTTGGCCGACTAGAATGGATTCAAGGGTTTGGAAAAAGACGAATGCCCTTTACAGAACAACAATTAACTTTAGCACTGGCTACTTATTTCAGTAAAACAAAAAAGAATTTTCTTCTCTTCCACTAAAAAGACAATCTATTTATATCCTTTCACAGATAGCGCAGGCGGGCAGGATGGAGTGCAGTGGAGAACAGTTGGTAGACACTTGTGTGCAATGCTATGATTGTGTAGACACACGCAGCTATGGGAACGTACATCGGAAACTGGCCTGATTTCAGTTTAACATTTTTTATTTGTATTTATTCGGTTTACATTTGGACTGAGGATGCAAACCCCACCCTTCATTTTTATGATCAAGTACATGTATTCATAAGAAACACCTGTGGCTCTCTGTGGGGTTAGAGGGAATTATTGTAATATATGTTAAAGATACTTCTGTTAGATGAGCCGGGGCTTTTATGCACAACAAAACACATTAGGCTGAAACTGTCCGTCTCAGAGACACAACGCAGGCTTTCAGCTTAAAATGTTCTCCTTGTCTTCTATGTGCTGGGGAATAAATGCAATTTAGCAATGAAATAAGAACATCTATCTTCCATGTCCACCAGCTGCCTTTGCTGTGCAAAACATAGAAATTCAGCAGAATAAATACAGCTATTATTACTTATTATTATTTTCACCACAATCGTTATCCTTGCTATCACCCTGGTTGGTGTTAACGGGATAACTAAATTTGAAGGTCTAAGAGGGACATTTTCCTCTCTATCTGTTTGGGAGGTTATTGACGCCTTGCTGGGTTCTGCATGCGCAGCGACCCTGCTTTGTGTGTAAAGGCTCAGCAGTCAGATGGGCCGTGGTTCTGCTCAGCAGTCACTCTGTGGACCATCAGGGGCCACAGCCCCTGCAATGGGCTCCCAGTGCCATAGGTCGGGTTTTTGGAGGAGGGGGCGGTGGAGGAGGGGGGGTTGAAAGGTGAAAGGATAAGCGCAAAGGGGCGTCATCATCATACGTGGCTGAGGGACTGGATGGCACTGGATTCGGCAGCAGCCCGAGCCAGACTGTGCCACATGGTGGACGGCGTGTGGGACGCTGGGTGGAGAGAGTCCTTTTCGGCCAGAGACAGCATCATAGCGTACGCCTTGGGGAGAGGGAGACAGAATATGTTTAGCCAGCATGCACGCCATCGGGCCGTCACGAGCATACAACTGCAGACAAAGACATGTTTTTTTTTTTTGTTGAGTCGGCACACAAACGAGTATTTTGGGGAGTTTAGTTGGGTGCCGTAAAGGATGCAGGCATATGTATAGGTGTATAAGTTTGAGTGCAAGACAAATAAAACAGGGGTTTTGTTTATTGTTATATGATAAACACTAATAAATAATACAGTTTTTATTTGGGGTAAACGAAAATGCACCGTGGACGATCAGATTTACGTCACATTTTCCCATCTGGGAAAGTGAAAAAAGCATCAACGCTGAATCCTGATTGCAAATGTTTCTTCTACCTGAGACTTGGATTTCCTAAAGAGGGGCTGTTTGACTGCGTCAGTCAGAGAGGGGGAGCCAAAAGATCCATCGTCCTCATCTCCTTCACTCTGCTCACTCTCCTCCAGCTTGCGCATGTCCGAAAAGTGGCGAATATGATCTAAGGCTGAGTAGCCGCTCTCCTCTTCTTTATACCTGGAGACCAAGCAGAAAACCTTCTGGTCAGGCAACTCATCACAATACATACACGGCCGAATTTAGTTTTAGTCGCTGCGAATTTACCTCCGGGAAGAGGTTTTGCAGTTGAGGTTGAAGTCCATTTCGTCTTGTACGATGTCGTCGCCGAGGCCGCCGGGAAGCACCTTGTCTTCCTGTTTCACAGTGGCGAGGCTGGGCTCTACGCCCTCGTCTTCATCAGCCGCCGGCTCCTCTGCTTCCTCGTCTTCCAGGTCGTGTGACCCATGGCTGGCCATCAGCGGCTTCTCTTCTTCAAATGGACCGCAATTCAACCTGCAGGCCGGAAACATTGTTCAGAACAATACGGCTTGATGGAGTAGTAGATTCTAAGCAAAGATAATTAGCTTTAGGTTTCTTGAACACTAATTAAGGGATCAAAAAAATTATATAAGAAATACGTCCGTGAGGTCTACAAATATCGTTTTGAACCGTGTCTGTCTTTTGCCCTTGTGGGACGTGAGAGACCTTTGTGTGGGCTAAAGAACAGAGAGAGTTGGGTCCGAGGCAGGACGAGGCAGCTGGGATGGAGAGAGCCGGGATCCCGTTTGTCATCGAGGCTCGGGAGCCCCTTTGGGCACCGCGGCACTGGGCTGATCCTTGCAGCACTTAACTGGAGCGCTTCGCCTCTCTCGTCTTGTTTATTTTCTTTACTATCTTGTATTCATCTAATAGGCAAAATATTTAGCTGACAGCCCCATTTGGTGGGAGAGTTATGGGAGCGTTGCCTACCGGCCCATTCTTCAATCCCTAGAGGGAGCGAGGGAGAGCTATCCAGACTGAGACTTAATCTGTCCCTCCGTCTCAGCGCCACAGGAAACCGCCATTTGGTAAATCATCTGGAACCACATTTGGACTGATTCACTAATTACGCTCTGGGACGTCTTTCGTCAGCTCCCAAAAATGCCATTTCTCGCACAAAGGGGTCAAGAGACAAACGAGAAGTGGACGCGGTGAAGTCAGATAGATAGGAAGCAAAACCCAATGCAGCACATCTCCGCCTAAAGTGATGCATTTGAGCGTGTAGTGACTCTCGCGCATTACATTTCAGCACAAACAGTATTTGCATCCTCTCTCATCAACGGCTGATATCATTGTGCTTCTCGGATGGGGAGTGCGAGGCCGCCGCGGTGGTATTCGAGCTGTGTCGAGCTCGCGGGCCCCCGAGAGGAGAAACCAGCTCCGAAAGAAAGAGCTCCAGCTCTGTGATTAACAAAACAGATTTGCTAATTACGCTTTCAAACGTGGTAATTTGCTGCGGATAAAGTATCTATCAGAAGCAGTCAGGAGCACAGCACTTTGAAAGGAAACACGGGCCGACCTTTTGACCCCACCCCTTCTACCTTCTTCCTGTAGGCAGACATGTTGTTTCCAGATGTTGAGACCCCCCCCCCCCCCCCCTCCCCACAAGCTTCTCTCCCCTTTTCCCTCTGACTCTCCAGCGCCCCGGTCCTGCTCTCACAGGCCTCCTGCACAATCACGCAGCAGTCGGCGAGATCTCTGTCTGGACTCACAATCTGCTCTGTGATCACAGCGACGCGAGGCACGTGAAAACAAACTCAGAGACCCGAGCGGACCTCTCGGCTGCTATCTGACCTGATCGCAGCTCCGAGGATTTATTTGCATAATGCGTGGACGCAGTTGCATGCAAAGATATCCGTTCGCACGTGTGGCCCGAAAGGCACCTGACGTACGGAGCTCCTGCTTGTTTCCCAAAACCTGCCACTATCTTAAATGCCATCACAGATGATTGCTCTCTACTCCAGACCTCTGAGCATGAAGTCATAATTAATGAGAGCGGGCTGGGTGGTTTGAAAATTTCACGTCTAAAATGAGCTGTGAGCAGTTAGCCTGTTATTCAGACGTTATTAAGCCCGCAGAGTCCTTTTAACTCCATCAGCCTTATTGCAGTCACAATTAAAGCAAGAGTTCAACATGCAGTAATGAGGGTCTGGGTCCTTTTTCAGGGGGGCTTTCTTTGTCTCCGCTGCTGAGGGCTGGTGGGCCAGAAGCCTGGTGGATATTTTTGTATAGACATTTTCTTTTTCGTGCCGTAGACGTCAGAGCAAACGCAACAGGGCTCACCCTTCCTCCGACGGGTCCGGGGATGCCTGGTTCTGGCCTGTGTTGCTGATGAAATTTCTTATTTCGTTGAAATAAGAATCTTCTTTGTCGTCCAATATGGCACTGCCACTGTCCAGTTCAGACTGGGGGGACGACATAGCTGTGCCTGGCGGAAGAACAAAAAGAAAATCAACTTAATATTATGGTTAACATTGGATCAAAGTTGGTATCCAAAACTAGTGATGTCATTTTGGACAAAAATTAAAATTATACTTTGGTATGCGACGCCTTTGGTGTCTTTGGAAACATCTTAAATTAAAAGTCCAAAAGATTCATTCCCTGTTCCTGAGTGTCTTTAAGGTTCAAGCAACCGATACTTTATTATTTCAACTACGATGACAACTTTTCTGCTTAACAATTTTTTTGTCTATTTCCTCTGTTGTTCCAATATATTGTTTGATGCAGCGAAAAAGGAGCAAACGACTAATTCCGCCTTCGATTAAGTGGAAAAATCTGAAGACCGTAGATCTCAGCTGGCAACTGTTTGTCACTGTTTGTTCTGCCGATTCACATTCGTTGCCCATGGGACGGACACGCTGCGCTGCTCGCGAAAGCAGATTGATCTCATTTTGGCTTCTAAAATACTTTCTAATCATGGTTAATTACGTTTCAGAATATTCACTGCTATGTCACTAATCAGCGAAGGACAAGAACAAAGGCTTGAAGCAGCTGTAACAACTCAGATGAATTCATTATCTCTACAAAAGCACAAAGTATGTGGAAGACTCCTCACCTGACAGATTGCCATTCTCGTGCTTCTTGAGGTGGCGGTCCAGGTTGGTCTGCTGGCCGAAGCAACGATCGCACAAGTGGCACTTGAAGGGCTTTTCCTTGTTGTGGATGTTGCGAATGTGACGCTGCAGGTTGGAGGAGATGCTGAAGGAGCGGTCGCAGTATTTACACCTGCGGGAAAAGTGGAGGCCTTTCACTTAAAACGATTACTGTGCTGCATCGTGAAACAGGAACCCGCGGTTTGTTCTGTGGGAAACGTAATAGGATTCATAAAGTGGGACACACATGCATGCAGTCCCAGCGGTCCCACAGTCCAAGACATGATGGAGGAGCTTGTTTAAGGTGAAACAGCTCTGCCTCTTATCTCCAGCCAGTGCAATAAAATGGCATTCTTCCCTCACAAAATAGCAACAGACCTTGTTCTATTCCTGCAAAATTAGAGCCTCTTGCCAAGTTTCTTCATGCAAAATTATACAAGAAGATTACATCTTTTCTTCTGGTGGAATTAGCTCGCTCGATTGGCTGCCCCTCAGGAACAGGGACCCCCCCCCCCCCTCTCTCCCTCCCCCGGTTATCTCAACAAAAAAATTACAATAAACAGCGGTGATCTTTAATGGCATGCCAGCGTGTTGAGCGCAGGCTATCAGACTGGGGCAGCAGAGGCCTGCGTCTGTCTTTCTCTCTCCCCTGTGGTCAGCGAGGGGCTTCGGGCCAACATTCCACTACCTTAGTAACTACAAAGCAGAGCAGTGCTGGCCAGGGCTTACTCATTATCCCAATGTAGTAAATGTGCAAGATTCATTTTTTACATGTGTCCCGCTGCTGCATTGTTACTTCTACCTCAGCGGCACCTGGAAAAAGGACGGAGAGCGGTGAGATTTGTGTAACCACTGCATTGGCTCTTATTTGCTAACGAGACCACGACGAAAAAAATAAAAATAAAAATTAACAAACTTAATCTTGTGATAACACTTTTAGTTGGCAAGAAAGCCTCACTTTGGGACGGCGAGTTAAATCTCGTGCACACGTAAGAGAAATACTGTCCTGGACATCTGCCCGCGCTCCTCCTCACCCCAATTTTGTTCCCGTTCCTCTGAGCTCTGCTCTTTTTACCAGCCAAACCCCCCCCCCCCCCCTCCTTCTCTTATACAGTCACCCGGGCGACAAACACCATTTTTCATGGGGCAAATTTATTTAGCTGCAGAATAATCTTTCCAGGCTTTTTCGCGGCATAAGAAAACACACACAGTCCGTGTGTCGCTGTAGACAAGAGTTCCCTGGGAAAACGTCCCGGTTCACGTCGGCAATGAGAGTACGCTGTGCGAAAGTGCGTTTGCTGCTCTCAATCATACTTGTGAGGACAGAGAAGCAGCGCCGTTATTCACTGAGGATATAATGTGCTAATGTGCAGCTCAAGATGAAAATTGTCTCGGGTAGTTTTGTAAGGGTTCTATTCTTGTGAGTGAGGAACAGACGGATTGATGTTGGTTGAAGGCAAGAGAGATTTATAGCTGTTGTTTCTTACTCGCACAGCTCGAACCACAACAACACCAACACACACCGGTTCAACAATACATAAATATATATGTATATGTTCACAGTCAGCTCCAAGAGACAGTGGGATCCTTAGAAATAGTCTTACCGGTAGGGTTGCTCTCCTGTGTGGGTCCTGAGGTGGCGGGTCAGGTTGGCAGAGCGTGGGAATATTTTACCACAATATCTATAAATGAGTAAGACACATTTTTAACTACTTTTTAATTACTACTACTTGAGCTGAAAAATCCCAAAATCTAATATGTAATATTAGAAATCACAGAAATAGGAACTCTTACTGTGACTGTTACACAAAACAACCTTCCATAGATGATTTTTAAATGGCGGCCACCATGACAGTTGACCAACGGGAATAACACATGCAACAGCAGTGGCCGTAGTTACCTGCATGTGTAGCGCTCCTTGCCCTTGCGCAGCAGCGTCTCTGGGAGTGCAGAGGGGGGGGCTCTGAAGTCAAACATGGAGGGGACGGAGCGCAGCAGATCACCAGATTCTGGCTTCAAGGAGCCAAACGTCTCCAGCTTCTCCGCCATGTTCTCGATGGCCGACATCTGAGGGTTACAGAGGAGAGGAGGAAACACGGTGAGGAGTGAGCATCGCGGTTCAGAACATGAGTAGTGTTCATTCAGCATTACGAGTCCAAAATGCAAAGCAGAGAAAGGGATGAATGGCTTTTATCAGTTTTGAAAGCTTCTTATGATCATGTCACAAAGAAGCAAAGAATAATTATGACCAATTATAATCTGTTGTGCTTCAGTTCAAAACAAGATTACAGCAGTGGATTTCCTAATATTGGTCAAAAACGCAAAATATTTGATTATTTTCAACCGCTAAATGTGTCTTACAATCAATCAATATTTTCTAGACTAATTTGATCACGTCTTGTTTGATTGACGGGCCTTATTGACAGGCATTGCACCTGGTGAAACAAAGCTAAACAGGAATTGGGTGAATTCTCATTATGACGTTTGTTAATGATTCATGAATCACAGGGTCAAATTGCTGGTTTGTGCACATGGCAAGTATATTTGATACTGATTCATAACTTAGTAGTTAAGCAACAAACAAGCTCCCATTCATAGTCGGTGGCGAGCCGGTGGGAAAACAGCTCTTTTCCCCTTAAAAACTCACTTCTATGCACAGTACATGTAGAAACACACACGCACACACACACACACACACACATTTAGGATTAAGGACTGCAGCCAATCTGCTAATGAAGCTCAACATTTCCTTTCATCAGGTACTCTCCGAGGAGAATCGTGCACTTATCGGTTGGTCTGTTTATGAACGAGAAACTACGTCCTGCACGGTGGCCGTAGTTGATTAATGGCCGTCTACTATAAAATATATGTATGTTTGAGGGAGAAAAATATATTTATAATGCATTTGTGTTTGGAAAAGTGTGTAGAATTACATGTGCATAGTATGTGAGCAAAATTGCATAGTGTGTATGTGCGTTGTCAGATACATGTGCGTCCGTGTGTGTGTGTGTGTGTGTGTGTGTGTTTGTGTGTGTGTGTGTGGCAGAGGAGTGATTCATGTCCACTGCCGGGCTGTAAACTATTCTGTGCACAATGCGGGCAGACAGCACATTCGTCAATATGAAAGATGTTGACATTACTGATCAAGGGCCAGACACGGGTAATAATGATATCGCTGTGCTGAGAGGGGCGGGATGGGGGAGGAGCGGGGGGGCTGGAAGAGGAGTGATGGGAGGACCTGAGGGAAGGGTGGGGGCGGAGGGGGGGGGGTCCCCAATAGGCCGCAGGGCCTGTCAGCCCATCTCACACACAGGGTTTTTTTTTTTTTTTACCCCCTCTTTTTTTTTTTTAAAGGGGCCACACAAATTTGCATTATTTTGCGTGTATTGAATTTTCAGCCTGTTTCTTTTTCTTATTCCAATAAGGCAGCAAATCAATGGTGATTTGGGTCTTCCACCAGAGCCCTGCTCCGACTCTGACATTTCATCTCCTGCCTTCACCCCCTGTCACTCCCGGTGTGCTCCACGCCGAGGTGGAGCACACCGGGGAGGGGAAAGAAACAGAGGAAGGCAACGGGAGACGGAGCACGACGAAGGACTAGACGATAGAGGAGAAGAGGGAGAAGGGACGGGAGAGAAGGAAAGAAAGAGGAGGCGCGGAGGGAGGAAGCGTGCCCGGGGAGAGGAGGGCTGATGGATGGCGGCGGAGCCCGGTGTTTGGAGCGGCTGATTAGGAGTGACGGCCGAGTGTAAAGTTCCTGCCGCAGCCGTCGACGTTCCCACCGAGGGAGGATGTGGAGTGTCAGGTCCGTTTGATTATGAATATGCCAATGGTGCACGCCATGAATCAAAGGCAAGGGAGAGAGCAGAGCGAGAGGGAGGGAGTGAGGGAGCAAGAGGGAGAGCGATGGATTGAAAGATAGCCAATGTGTTGTGGGAGAAAGGCTTTCATATTTCTTTTAAATGTACACTGTGTATTTCATCGGGTTCTTTTCAGGCACCGGAGTGAACGCTCAGTTTGTCTGCTTCACTCAAGAATACCCATAATTCTTTGGAACATTAAGGCCCCTAAAGCTGTCAGCAGTATCGAGCCTGTCCGATAAGACAGTGAAAATACTCCTTCCCAGCTCCCTCTGCTGGGAAAATCCGATCCCAACTCCTCCCTCCTCTGCTGCTGAACCCTATTAACAGTTTAATCCCACTCATTTACTCAAACTATCCCTCTATATCTTCTAATTAAAAGTCATTGGTCTAAGTTAAATAATGGTGCTTGCCTAGGTGCATATAACAGAATACGAATACAGTCATTAGAATACAGCTTTGTTTCTTCCTCAAACAAATACAAGTTAAGGATAATTTAGCTTTAATATACAATGAATAATTATTTAAAGTGTCATTACTTTCCAAGTGGAATCGTTGTTGCATGGCCCACTTCAGTGGAAAACGTGAATTTAAAATCTCTAAACAAGTCAAACTAATATATTAATGATTGAAACTGGTAACCATCAGTTTGCCACAGATTACGCTTAGAAAAACCTTCATTCTTTGAGTCCCCTTTTTACGGATGGAGAGCCGGGTTCATTAGGCCACTGTTTGACAATGCAGTGCGTGCGCACATGTTTGAGGATAAACGGCTCCACATTTTGCTCTAAAGCAAAATTTCAAAGGTTTTATTCCCCCCCCTACTCATTTCTATAAGAGACCCCCGCACACAAACACACACCAGCTAAAACCCCCTCCTCCGCCCCCCCCCCCCAGTGTATGTGTGTGTGTGTGTCTGTGAACTTGCTTGTTGCTGTAGCGTCGCTGTGGGACCAGCAGTTGATTGGCTATCTTCAGATGTCAGTGATGCTGTGAGGGCCTTAATTAGCGAGATGCATTCTCAATTGTTGATCTTTATCGGGAACCAGATGTTTGGAGGGAGGAACTAACCCTCCAGTCCCCCCCCCCCCCCCGCGCCAGTGTCCCAAAGAGACTGTTACCCTCGCGCTGATGTAAAGCAGCCCCCCCCTCAACACCATCCCTCCATCTCACTCATCCCCCCCCAATGCCCATTTGCAAAGCGCCGCTTCATTCTCAGAGTAAGCAAACATTGAGCATATTGGGAGCTGTTGGATGGACGGGGGGGCGCTCGGCTGGAAATCCCCGTTCAGACCGCTTCGTGTGAATCAGAGAGGGCATAAGTCTCTATCGCACCAAACAGCAAATACTCAAATTCATTCAAAATAGTAGTTTATGTTGACCATTATTAAGTACCGCAGCTCTATGGCCAGAATCAGGTGGTGGGCTAAAAGCGTGCGACTGCTGTGTGAAGACAGTTGTGAACTGTTATGCAGCCCATGCATTGATTAGAAAATGGGGTCTGTTTTGTAGAAGTACAGACACGTGGCAGTACTGTAGTTTAAAGAGGAACTTACCCAAGTTCTCTGATCTGGCAAACGAAACTATGGGGCGGAACAGAAGGAAAAGAGAAAGCAGTCAGAACCAGGAAGTGGCGCATGAATCAACAGCTTTCGATTGGACACATGTGGGTGCAGAGGGAATGATAGGTCCCGACGTGATTAACTTTGAATGAGCAACGAGTCGCCTATCTGCAGAGTTATGGCGCTGGAATTATAGGAGGCGCTAATAGTTCCCAACACTTCCCGGTGTTCAATAAGCTCATTATAGTAGGCAACAAAGTCACTGCCAGTATTTAATCTAAGCCAGTATTGCTTCGCAGTAAAATGTCCTGCCAGGAAAATAAAAAGCTGAATCACTTAACATTGAAAATAAAAGTTCCCGTCCCCTCAGCTCTGCAACCTTTTTTTTTTTTTTAAATATGTAGCTCAAGAGTGAGTCAGGTGACTGAAAACAAACCTCCTCAAAAGTATACAGAAGGGCCCCTGGCCTGGTCTGGGTTAGACCGACCCGGTCTAGAGTTTCTGGGAATGATTTGTGTGTCCAGACATCATAAAGTCATAAAGATGGCCTAAGCACTCTGTTAGTGTTTCTACTGATAGGACACCTCATTAAGGCGTGCGGGACGGCCATGTGGCTGCTGCAGGCTGGGCCCATGCAGCACTCTGGACAGGGGACATAAATCACACAAATGAAACAGCCTGTAAAAACCAGACGTGAAACAGCCAGAAAAAAAGGAGAAAAAAAAAAATCAAATGCCTGAGAAAGTGGTGTTTTCACTTTCCGACGGACCGTTCTCACCCGCGGGTGCAGATTGAACAAATGAACGTCAGTGCAACATGTCATAGACACACGAAGAAATACACCGGCGTGAACACGCGCACACACATAATTTGAGTCTCGCATTGGAAACACTGGCACAGAAAACCCCAGGGCAGAAATCTTTGCTTTAAGAGCATATCATTTTTTATATCGCAGTCAAAGACATGTTATGGGCGGACGTGTCAGAGTGTGCCCTTTCTCGCTGCCACATCTGTTTCAGATAGCCAACAACGGGCTTAACAGGCAGCAGTTTGGATAAGGCTGGAGCCTTATTAATCCCCTTTGGTCAGCTTGGGACAATCATTCTTAATTAGAGGTCCTTATAGAAAGAGTCGTAAAAATATCTACACTGTTTTAAAGCCAAGCTGCTGTAACATCTGTGGATACGGGAAACTACCATTGAACTTGTAAGATGACATCACAATTATCTCTAATTCAAACTGCACAAGAGCAACACGGACGGATTGGGAAATATGTTGACTATTTAATCAATCCAGAGTCAACCAAAGCATCTAAAATCAACCCTCAAATCAAATATGTAAATAAAATAAATAAAAGTGTACAGTCGCACTGGGAAAAGGGTGTGAGTTTGTCCGGACAAGGTGCTTGCCATGTTATTGAATTCCTTCCCAGTGCTCCAAAGTATCCCCACTTCCCTCTGATGCCCCAGTCAGAACTTACCTGTGGGTGGAAGAGGAAGCCCGGAGTTGGCCGCATGTACTTGTCTTTCAGAGTCTCAAACGGATCGCTCATTCTCCTCTTCTCAACCCTGCTAATAATAGATTTCTCTTAACGCATGTACAGCAAAAAATATTTACACATTTAAATCCATTACTACAATTACAATTATGCAAATACCAATAAAATGACAGGAACTAACACCAAAATAGTTTTGGGATATAACACAATGTGCAAAAGCACTCCAAGTAGGCTGGTGACTTAAATCCTGGCTACGTATGCTACTGGGAATAACGATACCTGTAGATTGGGTCCATGAAGAAAGGCATGGGCCTGGCATGCTGTAAAGAGGTGTCCGCTTTCGGGATCTCCGCCACTGCTTTCTCCTCCTCATAGCCCAGGTTGTTCTTGGTCTCCTCCTCTCTCGCATTGCCTACGCGGCCTCTGGTCCCCAGGCTCAGGTCTAGCGGCTGATCCTGACCGATGGAGTGGGAGGTGCCTGGTTTGGAGGGGGCAAATGTGGCGGACTTCTCCATCTTCCGCTTAGTAGTGAGGTCAAATGGCGAGTGGGATGAAGATTTGCCCTGTGCCTTCTTGCAGTCGTCTGCCGGGGACTGCGGCTCGCCCTTCGGGGCTGGAGGTCGGACGTCTCTGTCTGGAAACGGGTAAACTGGAGGAGAGAAAGCTGGGAAGAAAGGCAGTGGGAACATGGAGGGGTAGGGCAGAGACCCGACCTTCTTCTCCTGCAGGCCAGCCAGCCCCGTGGAGCCAAAGTACTTCTCAGCAATGGAGGCGATGGCCTTAATAGAGTCATTGACGGCCCCTGTTACGGCCGTGTGCTCGTCCAGCGAGGATGGTATGAGGGCTGGGCCCGGAAAGTCTTTCGCAGCACTGCTGTCTATCAGGCCGGGGCTCTGGAGGGCTCCTTCACCGGCCTTCCTTTTGGGGCCTTTGCCAGCTTCTCGCCCAGCCCCCCTTTCCCTCTCACTGTCCATGTCGCTCTCCAACTCCGAGCCCGATGTGCTCTCCAGATCGCTTCCACTGGGCGTGCTGACATCGTCCAGGTCGCTGCTCTCGGACTGGTCACTCTGCTTGTTCCGCTGCTTGGCGGACGACGAGGAGCTCTGGGCGTGGAGCTCCGAACCTGGCATCTGGTTGCCAGGTGCACCACTATCTTTACGTAGGGCCTTGAGGAGCTCCCGGGACTCTTGATGCCCCGGGCTCGGCGGCAGCAGTGGGCTCTTACTCAGCTCTGCACCAGGACCAGCGAGGGGCGCATGGGTGGGTTGTCTGACCGGAGAGGTGGCAGGAATGAGTTGGGGCCGGTGGTAGAGTCCAGAGGGGAAGAGGCCGGGGAAGCTGAAGGGAAACGCTGGAGCAGCAGGGAAGGTAAGCCCGCTGTGGTGGCGACTGGCCCCAAAGTAATCAGCCAGCCCAGAAACGCTGTGGCCCATTGCCAGGGACGATTTGTCCAAGCCAGGAGCACCAGGCAGGGGCATACCCTGGGCAAACAATCCCCCTGCCGTGAAATGATTCTTCCCTTCACAGAAGCGCCGGTGCTTGTTGAGGGAGGATGTGGTGCTGAACATCTGCCCACAATCCTTGCACTTGATCTGCGTGCGGCAGTCGGCATGCATGCGTTTATGGCGGCACAAGTTAGAGAACTGGGTGTAGGACTTGTGGCATACCTCGCCTGCAGGGACACAGAGACGGATGGAGAACGTATTAGTACTCACCGAATCCCCCCCCCCCTCCGCCTTCATCCACACACAAAAAAAACATCACATGATACATCTCGGTTAAGAGATGTCGGCTGGTAGAGGCTTCGGCAGATTTAAAACATATTGGACCCATTAATACTCTGACAACAGTTTTCCAACAAAGTGAGGAGGACAGGTGTGTCCAGATCCTGGCATTGTAAGGGAATATGTTTGGTAGATTTGTTTGGTGTGAGTCAGTTGTTGCTGCTCATCATCTACACATCAAACCAAACTCCCAGGCATCTCCAACCCCATTGTCTTCCCAGGGACGCTCCCAGGGAGTCCGTAAACAATCACACACACACCGACGTGTAGGCACATTCACAAAATATTCACATAACACAGACATACGTAGATATACACACACACACACACACACACACACACTCAGTCGCATGCAGTACAATGGCTCTATTTTAAGTTTGTGAAGGAAGCAGAGTTGAATGAATCCTATCCTGAAGTCCGGTTCCCAGGGACAGGTCCCACGTCCTCTACTGCCCGCTCTTCCCCCCCCCTCTCCCGAGCCTCCCTGTCACCCCCTCAGCCCCCTCACCTTGTCCCGTTAGCTCGATCCCTGTTGTCCTGCGCTAAGTGACCTTCCCACAGTCAACCACCGTGTGCCTGCCGGTTGTTCTGTTTGACCTTGCATGTCATTCGGTGGCAACGCCCAGCCATGAGAAGGAAAAACCCACTGTTTGACATCACCTATTGTCATTACTAGTGTGTCAGCATTATCTACCACAGATGGATGATTTGTTTGGAATCTACAAAGTGGATAGTAGCAGCCAAGTACTGATTGTTTTCCCATGCTCTTTTCTATCGCTATTCTAATAAAAGTCGAGAATGCCGTTTACGAGAGGGGGAAGATGTTCGTCCTTGTTGGCCCCCACCTCAGGATCATTTGCAAATCAGCTACACTACAGCTGACGTTTGGATAGAACTTTGATCATCCGGCAATATCAAAAAGCAGTTAGAGGCAGCGCAGGATGATTGATTTTGCTCACATTGTTACGGGATCTTCAAAACAGGGGCTAAGGAAGTGGTTCGGCGCAGACCGTGATTACACTTCTGCATACTTTGGATGCCCTCCAGCCACAAGGTGCTCAAGAGGCAATTTAAGGAGATGGAAAGGAAGAGCGGGAAAAAGTATTGCGGAAACGGATTTAAATAAACACTCCAGAGGAACGCCAAATGGGAAGGTTCGAGCCAAGAGTGTATGTAATGATGAAAAAAAAAAAAAGAGTCATTGTAATGAATGGACCCAGGAAACTAAATTGAAATGAAGTGCAGTTGTGGCTTGGCTTTGGCGGATACAATCAGTGTAGGAAGGTAGTTTTGGAAACATCTGGAGGAATAAAAATGAAGAGTGCATAATGCCTTTGATATTGCACGTGTTGTTTCCTCTCTAGAAGCGGTGCCGTGCATCTTGGAACACGAATTAAGAAATTTGGAAACTATCTGAATACCTCTCAATTGATTACAATTGATCTGTTTGAGCTTGAGCTCCACGTGTTTGCAGTGAGACAGGTAGCATGTCTACTTAAAATGTGAGGACTAACCCTGCAGGCCTGAGCGCTTCACACACATACTGTACATACACATACAAAATCTCTGAGACACACACACACACTCTTGACAAGATGCATGCGCTTACATACAAACAGAATTATGTTACAGTACAACACTGCCCTACAAGTGGACGCGCACAAACAAACACTTCGGATGCACCCATGGTCCCTCCCAGGCGGGCGTCACGTTTGAGGCCATTAGTTGTTTTAAAACCTGCATATTTTCTGCTGATTACAGCAAATGGACTCCTTTTCAGAGGGAGCACAGGGAAGAGGGTTTTACATGTGGTTGCTATTTGTGAGGAATGGTGCATGTGGCGGAGGGAGAGAGGAGAAAAGAGGGAAGTCAGAGGTCTGCAGGGGAGATGCGGTACCTCTGGCCCATATACATATGTGTGAGTGTGTTAATGTGTGTTTGTTTGAGGAGGAGAAAGAGGGTTGATTTGTGAAGGGGCAGGGAAAGAGAGAAAGGGCAAAGGGTGAAGGTCATAGTGCTTTAGGGGAAGGGGATCAGATCTGCGTGCTGAGGTGGCGAAAATGTGAAAGGTCAAAATGTGTTTCGGTCTTGCGATTGCTGAGGAGTGAGTGCAAAAAAGTAAAAAGTGTGTGTGTGTGTGTGTGAGAAAGGGAGAGAAAGCTGTAGCGTCAACATCAGGTGAGGCAGGGTCACCAGGAGTGAGTCAAATGGCATGCTAGTTTAAATGCTGTTATCACCAGTGTGAAATGTTACTGCTGCTATATATATATATATCCCTCGCGTAATTCCTGTAGAACATCAACAGTGATTGACTCTTAGCAGCAGCGGAAGGACAAACCAGTGTTTTTGAAAAGACATCCCATTTGTTCTTTCAAAGGCAAGTCACAAGCATATTGGTATCATTATTGTAATTATTATTATAACGTACTGAGGAGACTTACATAGGTAGGGTCTTAGTGACTTACACATGAAGGGCTTGACACTGCTGTGGATGTGCTTATGCTGCTTGAGGCCCGAGGACGTTGCGAACGTCTTGCCGCAGTCGGCGCAGGCGTGGGCCCGCGCCCCGACATGCTGCGAGCGGATGTGCCTCTGTAGGTTACTGGGGTCTGTGAACACCTGCTGGGGGAAGGAACCGCACAGACACACGGGGGAGTCACTACCTGCTTCTACGGACAGGACAGTCACACAAATCTCTGATTAAAAAAAAATATATATATATTTATATATATATCTCCCTCCAAAAGTCATCACTCTACCTTTGAGCAGTTTTCACATTCATAGTGCTTGCCACTGTCGTGCGACATCTGATGTCGGATAAGGTTGGATTTCCAGTTGAAGGCCTTGGGACACTGGTCACACTTGTATTCCCTCTCCTCCGAGTGGGACAGAGTGTGGGCCTCCAGACTGCAGGACGCACGGACACGGATGTGCAAAAGTCAGATTTTGAGAAAGTTGTTTTTCTATCACGTATCTGTCTGTCTGACAGCGGCAGCTTTACCAAAGCTAGTGGTAAAAATCTCCCTAATGAGATGTATGTGTTGTGAGTTGCTGACTTACCTCTGGACATCGGGAAAGACCTGGTCACACTCCTTACACTCTTGCAGACCATGAGACATGAGGAGGGGTCGCAGGTCTTGAGGTTCCTGGTCCTGCAGGTCGCTGTCCCCTCCTATCCGGCACAAAAAAAAACGTTTTAAATCAACCAGATGAAAATAGATATTACGGTTTAATATTTAGTTTCCTGGAAATCTTTAAAGCATTTAAAGTTAAATTCAAATGTAAACATACAAGCAGTTTTGGGGTGTGTTTGCGGTCATTAAAAAAGGAAAATAAAATCACTATCCAGCCTGTGGTCCAGTCACATAGAAGTTGCATTGACTTTCATCATCACAACATACAGTTTGAGTGTTGGAGAAGTAATGTAGGACAAATGTATTCCCCAGGACATAAACTGTGAGGTCTCGCGTAAAAAACACCACAGGACATAAAACACAATTCATGCCGGTTCGGTTCGACTCCTCTTTCCTGTGTCATTGTTGCATGAGCTCATTGTCAGTGACTCGGTTGGGACCCACAGTCCCTTACGTCATTAGTGTCCTATTCTCCCAGTTCAGCGGCACATCCGTCTTGTCACTCTTCTGTACCCAGTGTTTACAGTGGTATGAAAATAGCCCCCCTCACTTAAAAATAAGAAGTCACACCTGGGTTAAGGAAGGAGGAGGGGGGCATCCCGCACGGCTGCTTCTGGTGGTCCAGCAGCTGGTTACGGGACTCAAAGTGCTGGTCACAGTCCTCGCAGTGGTACTGCCGCTCTTCTGCACGGTGGGGGAGAGGGACATTAGCTTATTGTGCATTTGAGCGAGGCGTTTAATGCCATGTCGTGCCGATGGACGGAAATGTGTGTTTGTGCGCTGCAGACCGTGGATATCAGGAGCCATGGTGTCACATGAATATTCTTCAGCCTTCATGAAAAGTAGCAGCTCCTCGCCGGGGAAGATCTCCCTTGTGACCTTGTAGAAGATCTGCAACACAGGAAAAAGAGAGATTTATTTAAATTGTGCTTTTTGTATCAGTTTAATTAGAAAGGTCGTCCCAACAGTACAGCGCAACTCATTTTAAACCAGCAGAGGTCACTTGGAGTATAGCTCTTGGTACAAAAATGAACATGTACCCACAAAAAAACATCTGCTACACAATGCTTATTACGTATGAACACCCACATCACACACACACACACACACACACAGGAGAAATGTGAATATAAACACACGCTCCCGTTAGCCTGTGATTGACCATCATGTCAGATGAAAAAAGGAAGAAAAAACCTTACAGTAGAATAATATCGTCTAATATGCTGCATACATTCACACAAAAACTGGATTGAGAAATGATGCAGTAAGCAAGAAACGAATGTGTGGAGAGCGAGCTGACTTTTAGTGATCAACTGTGAAACCACGTCAGCGATGAGAAATGCATTCTGCTAATTGAGTAGTTTCAGTGATGGATGGAACTTCCACAATAAGCTCAATTAGGAACTAACACCACTTCTGTCCACCAAAATCCACTTACTTTAAAAGTATAAGCATTTCTATACAAATACTCAAGGTGCAGATTTCAGTGCAAGCCACATTACATACTGATGAGTTGTGAGGGGGTCGGTCCTCTCAGAGGGCTGAGAGACCCTGGGACCGAGGTGCTTCCCATGGACACACAATGGCCTTTCTCTGTGAAACAATCCAACATGGACGTTATTTTTGGCACGCTTTGGAGGTTCAACATATTACCTTCCGCTGCCGTGTCGACGTGACAATGATGATGGGGGGATTTATTAGAAGTGCACGGGGTGGGAGGGGGGGGGCTACGGGTCACAGGTACAACGCTTATGAACAGAATTCCTGGCGAGCCTAAAGCCACTCTGGCTCCGCAGAGAGTTCTGATAAATATCTCGGTGACAATAAAGATCAGGATGTGTTCTGTCAACCATGCTGTAAGTGTTTGTGTGATTGTTCCAACTTCCGCAAAATATAATACAGAAAATGAAATCCACTCCATATTTTTACAGGCTCCCCGTGACTCACTCAAGTACAGGGATGTTCCTAGACTGAGAATCATTAGGGGGAATTGGAGTGAGTGAAAAAGCACAGTCTGACCGAGGCAGAGGTCTAGCATGTCAATAAGGAGCCATCGGGGCAGAGAAACCCGAGTAACTTTGTAGCATGAAAGTCAGCTTCAAATACAGGGAAAGAAAAAGTCAAAGCAGCCAAGAAGGTTATTGGGCGGGTTGGAGGGCACAACGCGGCTGACTCCCATTACAGGGCTTAACCAGAATCATTACCGTTATCCAGAACAGGAGAGACAATCACATAACAACCCACTAAATGCAAAAGTAAAAGCAAATGTTTTCATTTTATGCAGCATTTCCTCTTTTCAGCAGGTCTCTAACTTTGCAGCATCCCTGTTGTTTCTTAGAAAGAATAAAAGGAGCTGAACCGTAAGGGGTTCCGGACGGCAAAGCCCACTCTAGCCTCCGACTACGCCGGGAACACGCACGGGCCTGAACATGGATGCAGCACGCAGACACTCTCCTTCCTGTGACCCGTCACCTTTGTGAGGCCACGAAAATATTGTGATTGAGAAACAATAAAGCGACGGTTCAAACAGACACGCGAGTCGGCGGCGCTTCCGCTCCGAGAGACTGATACGGAGGAGGAGTTCTTCCATGAGGTGGTCAAGTGCGACTGGTGGTCTATGACTGTAGCAGAATTAAGAAAAGGCATAGTGAGGGAGACCCGAAGATCCAGGTGAGTCTTTCAAAGGAGAAGCAACCTCTGACCTCTGACCTCCTTCTTTTACTCATCGATGACATTTTGTTTTTGTTCTATTTCCATTTCTCTCGCTGCGCATGATGATGTGTTTTTTTTTTCGGGCACACCAGCAGGCACAGGAGGGCGATTACGAATACGAGGGGAATTCCCCCGACAGCTCCGCCCCCCCTCCCCTAAGGGGCAGATAAACAGTGAAAACACACACAAACAAAAAGAAGGGAAAAGAGGCCGCAATTCTCTGAGAAGAAAAGAGGCAGAGTTGGATTTTTTAACATGTCGTGGACACACACACACACACACACACACACACACGGTGAAGGCCAGCAGCTTAACGGTGGCTTAAAATAACAGGTCATTCTACAGATAAGATAGCCGAGGTGTCTGAGTTCGCACTGAGAAAGCAAGCAGCCTCAGCATAAAGCCCATTTCTTTTTTTTTACTCGCACTGGAGGGAAAAACTATACAGAAGAAACCATTTTAGAAAGAATTCAAAACATTTCTCCTTTGGAAATAAACACAGACCCGTAAGATCCCATTAATGCAAAGCCTTACTTGTGGTGTGCGCGGGCCGCAGCTGTAGCCGGCGGAAGCTAATCTTCTCACCAACTGCCTCCGTACGTGCCGATCAATTACTTTGCCTCCATCGATATCCACGTGTCATTTCTCCACATGTTTGTGCACTCATCCACTCACACTTTTTTTTTTGGTTCCCATTTTCTCTCACTCCCTCTTGTCAAAGGTCACAACTTCAAGTGGATCAAAGGCTATAATCTGACTACTTTGTTACCTTGACACCATTAGGCATTAGCAGAGCAAACACGGTCACATTTTCCCCGGGCGCGCCCCCGCCGGCCGGCTCCCCGCTCGCGCACAGCGTCACTGGACGGGTATGCCGGTCAGTGACGCTGTTGTCCTGCCACAATGGACTTCCAGTCTGCTCGCTGCTGCTCCCAGAGGGAAAAAAAACTTGAAATCTCGAGCTACGTCTCAAAGTTCAGCAAAAAGGTCTGCACTGCAATGAATTCATCAAAACTTGCACTGTTCTTGAATTCCTGCTAAAAATAAATGACAAAGCATCGTTAAATTGGAGGAGAACAACCACCACGTGGGTTACCTAAGCCCTCGGTGCATTGCGGCGCAGGTTCGCTCGGGATGCAAGCGTCCCGCGGCTATCAGGATCATGCAGCGCGCGCGGGCGCGTTTGGCAGCCACCGCCACTTGGCATTCAAACGGAACCTTTCCGTGACTTCCATAGAAATAAAGAGTACAAGCACACAGTGTGCAGCTGGTTCCAGCGAGTTGGATGAGCATGCAAAGGAGCCAACGTGGCTATATTTATCTTACATCCAGCCGGCTGTGGTAAAGCGACCTCATGAAGAAGCAGACACTTTTCTGGTATCTCATGGACGACCGATCATGAGCCTCAAGTGGAAACTCTGCATCTTTCCAAATGACTTTCTCAGGGATCGTCTCAAGGCCTCAATATAGCGTCTCATTTAAATGATCCGTGTCGGATTTACAAGGTTCTTTCAAGTTTCTACATGTGCACCGCTGAAATATTCTTTTTACAATCAACTCTATTTCATAACCGCATACGCCTGAAGCCGTTCTCTCACTGAGTCACAGTCCAGCGTATTAGCGCCGTGAACGACTGTCAGTGTTTCGCTAATATGCCCCTCAACCACTTCATCCCACTCAATACGGAGTGAGAATCAATAGAGCGAAGGAGATTAACGCTCATATCCCTCTGCACTATCTTATGAAAGGCTCTTCGGGGCCTCGTTGGAGGATGTTAATTACTGTTTTAATCCATTTTCCTTTCAATTGAATCGGTGGAGTGAGGAGCACAGAGGAGGGGTGGCCAGCCCTAATTGCCCTAATTATCTTAACGACAAAACACGGCGATCGCGGTGGGATCTATGGGAGAAGTGCTCCGGCTGCGTGGTTTCAGCTCAGTGCAAAACAAATGAGGATATGAGGGTTTGAGGGGCGCGGGTGGCAGCGGTGGTCAAAGGCTAAAGTTGGACACAAACAGCAGGTTGCAGGATGAAGTTAAAAGATTTAATGAGTTTATTATTTTCTCTGAATCCTTTTAAATAATTTTGCATAATAAAGAATAATGAATAACCGCTGAATCGTGTGGAGTTTCTCTACCTGTTTCTATTTGTAAAGGACTAAATTCAAAGCTGGAGAACCATTTGAATCTGTAACTTAAGTCCCATTTGATTCAAACAGCTGGACATTTAGTGACAAAATGTTTCAGAGCCAAATAAGTTAAATTCTTCATTTCTATTTCCACTTTGCAACTTTGTGAGGAATTGTGGCCAAAGAGAAGACTGTATTTGACTGTATTGGGGAAAAAAACGTTAATATTTAATATTAATATTTGTTGAAGATGTCCTCTGCAGCTGCTCTAATGCCTTCACAGACAGGTTAAAAATGAATTACGGGAGAGAAGGAGAGAAGGAAATGAGAAGAGGGATTCCGATCTGTTCCTCCAATAAGACGTTACAGGCCTTTTCCTCTCTCTCTCTCTCTCTCTCTCTCTCTCTCTCTCTCTCTCTCTCTCTCTTCTCGCTCATTGCTTCTTTTTCTCACTCCTTCACCCTCCCGAGATTGGCCATAAAGTTTTATGATAAACAGAACTGGGTCAGGAATAAGAGGACAGAGGCCAGTTTTACTGTCTCGGCTGAATTGCTGCTTTAAAAACAACCGAGACCCAAATGACCATCGAATCACTGTCTGCTGTTGTGACCTCGTCCTCAAAAAAAAAAAAATTGTGCAATAGTGGAATAGTTGGCAGAATTTGCCTCCGAGGGAAGACTTTGGTGTTGGGTTGCTCGGCCTGTGAAAAGGTGCTGATGGGACTCGTTGTGTAATGTGTGGTTTCGGGCCGGGCCTCGATTCAGCACTTCTGCGCGGCAGTAAAAAGCCGGCTGGGATCAGCTAGGTGTGTTTTAACGTTTCCAGCCCCAGAATGAGGAGCGCGGGGAGTCATCGGACGCGCAAACCAACGATTCCCGGGCGCGGACAGCGTGCGCGCAGACACGCGCGCTCAAGTTCACGCATGCGTCCATGCATGTGGAAACCGGCAGTTTCAGGTGTGTGTGTGTGTTTGTGTGCGTGTGTTTGTGTGTGTGCGCGCACTCCAGACGACACAATGAAACACTTCTTCACACTCACCACGAGTCAATGCAAATAAAAAAGAAAACTCGTAAACGCGCACACACAGACGCACACACACTCGCACACACACACACAAACGCTATCAAAAACTGACAGCCGCTTAACAGGACCCCCCCCCCCCCTTCCCGCTCCCACTCCGTTCATTTTAAAACATACAGACAGGCATTGTGAGGCGCTACAATGTTTTCAAAAAACACCAATGTCGGCCGGAAGGCTTAAAGACGGTACATTGTGGCGTGTTGTGACAGTGTGTAGTACTTAACAATCGCCTCATCACAGCCATGTCCGTGACCTGTCGGGGCCTTACACGGCCACCGGAGCAGAACCGCGGCGATGACAGCGGGTCTCGCCGCCATAGAAAAGCTCTCTCCGCCTCTTTTAGAGGAGAGCCGGGAAGTGCTTCGAGGAAAAGCTCTTCTACTCATTCTTCTCCCCCCCCCCCCCCGTGCTGTTGGTGAGAAAGATCGTGGTCTCCCCTCTCCCCTCTTTACCGCGAGGGTTGAGACACGCGCACGAAGGGCGGGAGATTCGTTCTCGGGGAGCGTTGAGCTTTTTGGCCCTTTTAAAGATCTCCAGGTGATTTTTCCGGCGCCTAGATGCGTCACTGTCATGTAACAAATCCGACAGGCGACGCTCAACAGGTAATCCGGGTGGACCACCGGCGTGTGAAGCGATGACAAGCGTGCACGCCGAGATGACGTCTTTTCATCCGGGGGTCGAGCGCCACGCCACGCTTCCATGCACGTGTCAAATCGAGTTTAGCCTTCCCGCCTTTGCTGCAAGGTCTCCGGTGTCGAGGAGAATTCGGGATTACCGAGGTGAACAGGCCCCCATGTGCGCGGCACGCACCTCCCCCCCCTCCCCTCCCCCCCCACCGGGGCAGCCAGGTGAGCAGCTAAAAGACTGTGGACATTCCTGGCGTGTCTTCCGAGTTTATATCGCTAAGCGTGACCGGGAAGTGTGTGGAACGATCATCTCGGCGGGCCGCCTGTGATCCTGCCCTGTGGTCCTCGCACGGCAGAAGCCAGAGCACAATTTAAAAAAATGAAAACACACGCAGATAGCGAAGAGTTTCTGCGGTTCAGCGTGGGGGGAGAGGTGTGTGTGTGTGTGTGTGTGTGTGTAAGGACTGAAGGCAGGGTGGGCCAGATGCTCGTGGGAGTATCTGACTTGGATCATGATAATACCTTTTAACACAACAGCACGCAGACAGGACAACCATCGGAACAATACAGGGGGGAAGCCTTCTGACATCAGAAGCAGTTTTTAAGGGGCTTTTAAATGACTTTCAGCAGACAGCGAGATTCGGGCACATCACCATGTGGGAGTTTGAAATCAAGACCCCCACCCCCCCCCTTTCTCTGTCTATCTCTTTGTTTTTCTTTTCGTCAGATCATATCCATCTTGTATTTTGTTGAGGCGGTCGAGCCACGTACCTGGTCGCCTATCTGGCACACGGTCAGGTTATGCTGCTTGGCCGCAGGGGCAAACTGGATGTGCTTCAGCCAGCTCCCGATATCTGGCTTGCTGGCATCCACGCAGAATTTTACATGGCCTGACCTGTCCAAGATCTGCAGAGAGAGAGAGAGAGAGAGAGAGAGAGAGAGAAGGGATGATGGAGGGAGGGAGGTAAGGGAGGGGAGGGGGGTTCAGACTTTGATCAGTATCAGTCCAGGTTACTGTGTCCAAACACTGACTAACCACATACCTCCCACAAAGAAATAAGACTCAAATGTTAAGAGCTGGTCTGTGGTACAACACATACACGCGCACACGCACATGCACGCTATGCACAAAAACGTACAAATTCCTGTACCCACATGCAATTTGTGTACATTAGGAAGGTATTTTTAATGACCTAAAAAGTTCTTTGAAATATAAAAATGCGTGTGTGCCGTTTTTAAATATTTATTATCAGAATTTTCCACAGCAATTTTGGATTGAAAAAAAAAATATATTTGATCACTACCACAAAATAAAAAATCTATTATATAACGGTGATATTAATTTTTTTATTCAGCTTTGAGGAACTTTTTCAAGGGAAAATGACATTCCCATTGCCGCACTAAAAATGTCAAGTAATGTTTTCCTGCAACAATAAATCACAAAAAACAAAACTAAAAAGCCCAAAAAATATATGATCAATAAATATATAAGATAAGAAAAAAATAAACAAGAATGGAAAAATATGTCAGTCTGGTATCATGTTGTATAGAGTTTTATAAATGTGGTGCTAAATAGTTCTGGATTTGTTTTATTTAGAAATGCTGACGTTTGAATTCGTTTCTGAAAGTGTGGTTTCATCGAATTAAATAATAATCTATACTGATTTAAACAGTTTGATCTTCAGAAATGTGTATTTAAAATGAAATAAATTAGACCCAAAAAATCTGTTAAAACGATGATATCACTAGTGCAAATACTAACGATAAACCTTGCCTTACTCTCCCACACAAAACGCTTCAAGCACCCAAAGACCAAAATGAAATTAAATACAATTAACCGGATTATCACGCAAATCACAACGCGATTTCTATCGTTTACAAAACATTTCTACAGATTTCCTCCCAACGAATTGTCACCGGTGTAACGTCGATTTAAGGGGTCAAGATTTATCACACAGCACTTTTATTGGGAAGTACAGATAAACTGCAGGAAATCGCCAGTGCTAGAAATGAAGTAGCCGATTGTTGGGACGTAAAGCAGAATCTCCGCCAGGGTCTCAAATCAGTCTTTGTATTGCCATGCGACTGAATAAATATTTACTTTGCATAAAGCCCTTTGTGTGGACTGGATCTGTCCATTCATCATGCAAAAACACTCTCCGGTTATTATTGCAATCGTCAAATAAGTTTACAACGAAACGAACAATGGCCCGTTTTGTTCAGCGTTTGCTCGCTATGCAAATTGTATCCTAAAAGCAATATTTCCGTGTTTTATCCACAACGTATGTTTGCTCTTACCGTCGAAACTCGTGCGACAGTTAAAACCTTCTTGTGGGGGAATAACTGCGCTGCTTACTGCTGAAAAGTGATGAAAACTCCGTTTGAAAAAAAAAAAAGACAAAAGACAAAAAAAAACGCTCGGCCGTCAGATAAACCTTAATAGGAATAGAAATTGTCTCGGCGCGTTTTCCAGCTTGCTGGCATCGTAAAGAAAACAACAAGAAAAGCAAACACCAGCTTTGCGCTGTTTTCGTTTTTTCCGCTGTCTCTCTCTCTCTTGCGGTAGCGGCGTCTCCGCAGGTCCCGAAGCCCGCGGGAAGAGTCGAGTCCTCGGACCGGCGCGACAGTCTGCGACGCACCGAGCGCGGTCGGTCAAAGTAAAATCCTCTCGTTGTCTTCTGCGTTGTCTCGCGGGTATTGTCTCGGTCCCCTGTCACTGTCCCGCGGACACCGCGGATCGGAACTGAAACCACCTCCGGCGCAATCAACTCTGCTCCCCAAACTCTTGGGCTTGTGCGCGCTTCGCGTGGGCTCGTCCGCTCCTCACTTGTCACCCCTCCTGTCCTGACGCACCCAGGTGTCCGCGAGTAGCCCATTCAACTTTTCATTTTTCTCTTCCTCCCCCCCCCCCCCTCCTATCCCCCTCCACACACCCCCCCCCCTCTCCTCAGCCAGTCGGGATGTTTCGTCTATGATAGCACATATACTCATGATGTGTTTGTGTTGTGGGGGAGCGGGGGGGGGGGGGGGGGGGGATTCAAAGATCGCCCCCCTACTTTGCGCGTCGCGGACAGTTTGTGTGATGTTTCTCTTGTGCGCGTTGTCTCATTGGAGAAAGGACCCGGCGCGTCCACCCCAGTGTCCCACTAGAGAGGCACGGGACCGTCTTCGCCTCGGTCCCCCCCCCCCCCCCCCCGGTCGGAAGCGACTCCTCTCCGCAGTAAATTTTAAAGTGACAGGGGGCCGGGGTTGGAGAGGGTGAGCGGGGTCAGGGAGAGGTCGGGATGTGGCTTCTGAATGGATGAACCACACGCACGCACACACACACACACACACAGGCAGCACGCTTTAGCGAAACAACACGAGCATCAAAGCGCGTTTCATTAACCACGTGTTCCCAAACTTCCCCAACACGCCGTGCCAGTTCATGGACCATTTTACGGCATTATTATTACCGTAAAACTTTTTTTTTTCTCATATAATATTCCCTTTTGTACCTCCAGGTTATGACTTAGTTTGTGTTAGTAATAACAAAAAGAAAAGTGAGAACTATAATAAAAAAACAGTCACCTAATTGTCTAATTGTGCTCGCGTTGTAGGGACTGAAGTAACAGTTAGACCAAAGGCTTTTTCTCTTGAGGACCTTACAGGAAACTCAGTATGGACCATTGCAAGTCCCTCTGCCCCAATTTGGGAGACCCTAACCCTAATCACGTGCTTTTCTCTGACTTCAACTAAAACCGCTGGTTGTTGGAGGAACGCCCCCCCCCTGCCCCCCCTGCCCATACACACACACAATAAGCAAATGATAAATGCTGTTTTAAAATGACCAGAAATAATATTTAAAAAAAAAAAAAACACTAGACGAGGCGCGATTGCCAGTGTGTAAATCCATCTTGTAATACAAATATATATATTTCAATTCTGGACCATTAACTGTCCGCCGCGCACCTGCTTTGCAAGCGCACGAGAACACGTCGCATTGACTTCCATCCTTTGGTGTTTCATCTAAACGCGAAAGCTTACAGCCGAAAACGATACTGCGCACAGAGGGGGCAAGGGTGTGGAATAATAAAGAAAGGTCCTCGTTGTCAGTGAGAGGAGTTTATTAGGCAGCTCATAAAGCTGGAGAGGACAGCGCTTTGGCTGACGAGAACAGATGATGATGGATAGCGCCTCGCTCTGTGACATTGACCTTCCATCCCAGATAATGCCTATTGTTTTACGGAATTGCGCAGAAAATGTGCAGGAAGGACAGGAAGAAAAAAAAAATCACGTGTAAATAAGGCAGGACCCCGCCACCGATTCCCATCGTCTCGCGCTCCTTGAGAACCGCAGCGAGACCCCGGTCCGCCCGCTCATTGATTTCCTGCCTCTCCTCGACTTGTCCATTGTTGGAACCCTTTTTAATTTAGCCATAAATTGGGAAAGCTCAAGTCGAATGAGCTGTTCTATTTTCTCCCTGTCAGGATGAGGGATTTGTTTTATGATGCATTGTGTATTAAATACAAGTAATCTGGGGAAAGTGATTGCTTCACGGCCTCTGACCGAGGATCCCGATAGAGAGAGAGAGAGAGGGAGAGGAGTCTGGGCTTCTTTTTGAAAAGGAGGAAATGTCGGAAAAAAGGAGGATAAACACGCGGGGGGGGGGGGGGGGAAACTGGGGGGAAAGCCCCCCTGAGTCTTGGAAAGACAACTGCTGTGCTCCTTCCCCCTGTCAGGAGAGGGGGTGCTCCACCGAAATGGAATCAATGGGTTTTCCGAAGACATTAAGAAACCTTATGGGTTTGCACTTATTGCTGTGAAGCAAACTTCTTTCTCTCCTTTTATATCCAAGAAAAACACCGAAAAGCAGGAGAAAAGTGGAAAAAATATACCCTCGTTTTAATATGACACAGGTGCGCCGGTTTTATTTTATTAGCAGTTAGGGGTCTAACGTCAAGGAAAAGATGAAAAAAATAAAAACTTTTCTTCGTGAATCACGTGCACGGCCTGATGTCTGAGCAGCGCGTTCCGCTTTCACGTTGGAAGCCCCGCAGCAAGGTGTGTGTGTGTGTGGGGGGGGGGGGGGGCATTTATTTTCTCGTCCGCCTGAATTGCAACACAAAACATCTACATTAAGGCGTCAAATTGCTGGATGGGACATGAAAGATTCGGCCGTATGGGCCTGAATATCTGAAATCTACACAGGGAAGAAAGAAAAAAAAAGACTGATGGGGGTGAATTTAAAACGCTTGTTCGTTTGTTAATAAACCACGAGAAGGATTTGCAAGGCGTTGCTGTAATTTATATTTATTTCTTCCAAACGGCCATAAGCGCTGTTCTGATATGCCGAGATGAAATAGCTCCGTTTTATCTGAATTATGCCTTTTGTCATAATGGTTTCGACGTAGCTACTAAATAGCGGCGTGGAAAAGGCTGTTTATCAACAAATTGCAAACCAAACGCGTGCGTGCTTCAGGGTATGTTAGTCCCGACTGTATCTCGCCACACAGCATTTCATACTTATTTAAGAGACCCTTAAAACGGACAGGATCCGCGTAATGTTCAGTGCGCAGGCTTTTAAAGTGTGAACTTCTTGAAAGGAGGTTAAATTGCTTTAATGGGCCCGTGCATATTTTGCTCGCGGCTTTCTGGTTTGTTTTGGTTGCTCGCTCACGCAAAAACCAATTTATACATTTTATTTACAGATCGTATTCCGTTTGATCGGAGCTTCGTGGTCTCACGCAGCCTGTTGTCCTTTTTGAATAACTTCGCAGCCGTGGATTCTGGATTTTCCTGCTCCGTCTAGTGCCATGTGCAGTCAGATGGGACCGGCTGGTGGAGAGAGAGAGGTGGGGGGGGGGTGGGGGTGGGGGGGGGTCCCGTGTGGGTTGCAAACTGACTCCAGCCAGCGAGCTGCGAGC